AAGAGTTGACCTGTATCTCTTGTAAAATAAAATTACTTTAAATCAAACATAATTTTAAAGACTGCATAGTTTAGAGGAGCCATTTCATCATTACTCAAAAAACAGTTTCATTGCCAAATAGTAATCCACTACAAAGTTTTTTTTAATCTAGTTGTACTGCAAATAATTGTCATACACACAATTTTATTCAATTTGTAATTGTTATTTGCAATACATGCTAGATTGCTAGCCAATAAATTATTGTCGATTTGTTTTTAATCGATATTTTGTCTCCCTCGAATATTTGTACATGTATTTTTATTTACTGACATTTAGATGTTTTATAAAGATTAAAATTATTTTCTCGAATGAGCGACTTTTTCGTGAGATAAAAGTACAATTATTGTAGAGGGAGATAAGTGCATGAAATGTTTTTTAATAATTATTATTGTTTTATTCCATGTGTTTCTAATTAGTGTATTTTGGTTAGGGAGCTCGGGTATGTTTTAAAGTGATCTGTACGCGGTGCAGATATCGGTATTAGTAAAGATACACTCATAAGGAACGTTATTTCGTTGATGTAGTTGTGTAAAGTCGTATTATGTTGCATGACACTCCTGTTTGTTGTTGTTGTGTATAACTTGTTATGCCATACAATAGTTCAGCATATTTTCAAGAATACTTACTAATACAGATTTAAATTGCTAAATAGAAATAGATTATTCAAGATTGTATGACTATTATAAATAAAGATGATATAGATTTTATTAATATATTCAAAGAATGTACATTTATGATCAGTAGAAATACGAATTGTACAGTAGTTAGGCTGTAGCTTGCAATTGATGTTAGTTTCATTTGGATCTAGTGAGCTACGCGTAGTGTTAGATTCGAAGAACAGATCACGTGGTGGTCCCGTCCTCAGCTCCCTAACTATTTCTTTTCCAGACACATCAGGCAGGCCGAAGTTGAAGCTTGAGCCACGAACTGTAAAAGAGCCGGTGAACTCTCTGGCGTCGACCAGTCAGGCGCACTCGATATTTGGCGGCGCTCGGCCGAGGGAAGAACGACTCAAGGAACTGGCGGGCGAATAAACGCTCTAACAATGCCCCATAATACCACGTACTCTCATCTCCCGGTCCCGTGTGTATATGTATCGTCCCGAAGCCCGCTGCCGATCCCTATGTGTGCCCGATATTTACAAGCAGTCTCTACTCTCATTGAATGCAGTGCGAAAAATTGTATATGAACTGCAAACATTTTGTTAGGTTATATGAGGTTGTAAATCATTTTTAAAGTATATTTTCTTAGCTTTATTATGTGTATCGAAAGATAGCTTCTTATTGTTTTTGCGCCGCCCCGCCTCGTTTTCGAGCCCGGGGAGCGCGCGTCGCGTCGCTTGATTAATATGCAGTATTTAATTATTAAATTGCTAGTATGTATTGTTTGTCTCATTATAAGATTTATCCGGGCTTGTGTGTACATACGATATCGGCTCGCATAATATTAATTAATTTTTCGAAATTAGACATGGAAGAAACATAATTTTTGTTCCACATTTTTTGGGTTGTATGTGTACTGAAAATATTTGAAATATTGTATTATTTTATTTTTATTATATAGCAATGTATCGATAGAGTTTCATAATTGATTCTCTGTTGTATTTGTTTTTTTTTTCATTTATTATTTGTTTAGTTTGTTAGGTCGTGAAAAATTAATCATTGAATGAGTAATTATGATACATAATTTAAGAGTTGATTAATATGGTGATGTAATTACGGTGTCATTAATAAAATTAACTTCCACGTACTTGAATTTCTACTTTATTACATAATTGTGTAATGGCAAGTAACGTGGCCAAGAAATAATAAAAAAAAATCGCAAAAATGTAAACAGAACATAGAAAAACGAATAAAAAGTGAATCTTTGTAATCGAGGGTTTATCTAAACCACCTGATGAAGCCATATCCAAATCCATTTTCCTGTTGTACTATCCTGACAATTTTCACAACTCTACTGCGCGTGCATTCTTTTGGTAGAAGTTAAATGTTTTCTTACTGGAACCTATAAGGATACTTACACACCATGCCGTAGCCGTACGGCTGACCGCAGGGACAATTGAATAGTTTTAAACTGTCACAAACGATAATTTGGGCATTAGTCAGGGTGAGAAAAATGTGAAAGTATGCAGAGAATTTCGAAAATGGACTATTTCCTAATAAGTATGTTAAACGTGCCGTATATGGATGTTCCTTCGACAAAGTAAGCGATTTACCTAAAAAAGCTAAATTATTAGCACCCCCAATCGACAAGCATGCATGAAAAAATTGACGGATGTAGATGGAGCGACGATGTGCACCACAATCGTATCATATGTCTGCGTATAGTGTGTATTGTCTGCTGCCTACACCAACGAAAGACAAAAAATGTGATGACTTGTATGATTTGACAAAATAGCGCCTAATAAGTTTTTTACAATATCCTGGCGTATTTTACTTTTATGAGACAAAATGAATACGAATAAAATTTCGGTTCGAGTATAGGTACTTAACGCAGGCAGGTAGGCATGTAGATACCCACGTTAGCGCAACGCGTTTTGCCGTGCATCTCACGATTGTTTTTGGGTAGGTACGGTGTAACGTAAGTCCCAATTTTTCAAGATGGCAGCGGCGACGTGACGTGACGGCCAGCCGGACGGTTACTGCGCGCACTACGCGGGTGCGGGCTGCGGCTCAGTGAGCGGCTCGCCATTGAGTGAGTGCACGTGGTACCTTGAGTTTGGTAAAATGGAATTTGATACCGAAAAATTTATCAGTGAAATCCAGTGTCGGCCAGTAATTTGGAATACCAGATTACCAGAGTATTCCGATAGATCAGTTAGACGAAAGGCATGGGAAGAAATGGTGCATATTTATCATGGTATGAAATTGACAACGCAGCAAAAAAGAATCTAGGTAATTTTATTTCACGTATAAAATATTCTGCAAATAATTCTCGATATGCTATATAGTAGTTCTATTATTTACGCGCACGATATTTCGACTAGTAAAGTAAATAGTTTCAGTGGAGAAGCTCAAATGTAGCCCGCGAAATTTAAATTTTCTTACGCTATTTGCTATTGAAAGGTACCTATTTATACATAGCGAAGAGAAAACAAGGACGAGACTGGACTAGTATTTCGCTCAAACCTTGAAAAATTGCATAATACAGATTATAAGTTGCATTGTTTCCTGAAATTATTATTTTTCCTAACATAGGTTTATGTACTTAGATACTTTGATTGCAGTAGGTAAGTACTATTTGCAATCTTAAATGTTAATGAACAATATTTTTTGTTTAGGTTTGAATATGCAAAGAAAATGGAGAAATATTCGCGACAGTTTTGTGAAAGCCCATAAAGCGAAACAATCTAAGAACGGATCAAGGGCAAATAGGAAATCTGCATACGTTTTCTACGATAATTTGTTATTTTTAAAAGATACAGAAACTTTAAATAATGCAACAGGACATGTAACTACAGAAAATGAAGATAGTAACACAGCTGTACAAAATGAAGAAACACTTCTATCAACTACTGCAAAGCCATCATCACCCAAGAGAAGCAAGAAAAATAATCGTGATGATAATATCAGTAGAGAGTTTGTCGGGGAGTCGAACCGAAATCTAGAAAGAAATATTATTGACGATGAAGGTGATCGCCTCTTTTTCTTATCTCTTGTAAAGGAATTTAAAAAAATTCCGGAACATATGCAAATGCAAAGTAAAATAGATATTTTAAAGGTAATTAAAGATGCACAGAACATTGATTATCCTAGGCCTAATTCTTTCCGGGAATATCACCGTACAAACGTATCAGAGGCTGAACGAGGGAATACCCCTCATGAGTACCAAAGGGCACAGAGTTCAGAAAGCAATGTATACATGCAACCACCTGCGCAGTCTATGGAGTTTAAACAAGAGACGAACGTAAAATCGCCAATTTCGTCTATTAGCGAAAATTCTCACCAAGAGAGTGATTACCTGGAACTTTTTAATTCCGTCACTGACGATGATACTTAAAATGTGTACCCACATTATTTAATACAAATTGAATTGTTAATATTTGTTTTACTTACTTACCTATCATAGCATTATTATTTAAGTTTGCTTATAATTTGACTACTTATTGTGACTCATTGTGATAATACCTACCTAGTGTCTCGCTTCGTTACAATTTTTTTTAACCGAATTCAAAAACGAGATTCTCATATCAGTTTGACCTGCATGTGTTTGTGCGCGATTAGCTGAACCGATTTTTTACAATGTGTTTGTTACCTTAGGAGAAGGTGCTAGAATCTTAGTAGTTCCTACCAAAACATCTTGTGCCAAAACGTGAAAGCTTCCCATGAAGTCTCGGGCTCTCGCAGAGTTCGATTCTCGGGTCAAGCCCTATTAGTTTCTCATTGGTAAAAATTATCGATGTTGTTATTTATTTAATAAATAAAGCACTAGAAATAAAATTGCGTTTAAGTCTAGATAGCTGTGCCTACTTCAGATTCTTCTAATTCTAACTAAAATTATGGAATTAATAGCTTTGAATCTGGTAGTGTCAGTGTCTCCCAATCCCAACCCACACATACAAATAATCTTGATCCTCTAATTGCAAAAAATATGCAATTTTGACATCAACGAGACTCCTATCACAACAGCAGTCTCTAGTAGTAATACTCTATATCACTAGTAAGTAATACACCCATAAAAATCCTGAAAATAAAAAAAACACCATCACCATATTAGTAGTAGTTAGTTTAGTACACATCAGTTGATCTTAGAAGTTTTCAATATCTTACATTCATGGCGATTAGTAAAATTGACACAAACTGATGGGTGAACATGGGACATGAACAAGCAAATTTATCCTATGTAATAAGGACACAACAATAAGATAAATATGTCTCAACTAGGTTGAAATTAAGGATAGTATCAAAAAGGTAAAATGAATAAAAAATAAAAATAAACAACATTAAATTGAAATAATTTATTCAAATATCAAGATCTTCATCAGGATCCTCTTCATCCCAGTCATCTACTGCATCAGGTTCGTAATACACTTTACTCTCTCCTTCATGTATTTTACTCATGTACGGCAATTTCAAGTTATATTTCTGTATCTTCTCATTTTGGCCCACTTCTATCTTGAATGTAGATAAATTAGCAGGTAATGGCTTTTCTGGTTCTTCTTCCTTTTCCGCCTGTCTTATCACAGGGCTCAAACTCAGCACTGATGTCTTAGTGTCATATGCCAGTATCTCCTCACTCCTTATAATTTTGTTACCTTTTTTTAACCTTATCCACACTTTGTGCGGATTGGTTTTATCATATGATATCACGACATTCACTAAATGATTTAGATGTGTTTGTAGTTTAGAATTGTGAGGTAAACAGTCCTTGTGCAGTATAAGCACTAATCTGTTAACATTTGGGTTACTTTGTAAAAGCTTCAAGTATTGAAGACAATGATTCCAACCCATACAAAGAGCCATTTGATTTATAGAATCTATTATCAATGAACACTTTTCACTTGTATACATATTGTACATATCTGGGTTAAACTCATCGTGATATTTAACGTTGGAATTTATGAAAACATTTCTCCAAAGACTGCTTGGTTGTTCATAACAAAATAAGTTTATACATTTCTCTTCTTGCACAAGTTCTTCCAATAAAGGTATAATATTCTTATTGGCATCATCTTCTATAATTACAAACGGAGCAGATTTTAATCTAAATAAAGTCATTTCTTATTTTACTTTGTGTGTTCAATAATAAAACAGGTATGTAGTGTTTTTCTATTAACTTTAAGGAAAAGCAATACGCATGCCGAATTTCCATGCATGGAAACGTCAAAATTGACGAAACAATGACAGTGACATTGGAATTTTATAACCGGAAATGCAACAAAAGATTTTGTAGAGAGGTAAATGTTGCTAAAAAACTCATTGCATGTTAAGGTAATACATACAGATCTTATGAAATAACAGGCACAGCTTAACGGCCATACAGATCTTATGAAATAACAGGCACAGCTTAAATAGAAATCATTTATCCTATTCCTATGATTGTAGAATTTTATTTTATTTTAAATGAGCAATTTTATTTTATTTTTAATTGTAACCGTGATCCATTTATGTTCAAACATATTGACCTCAACTCGAAAGTGTCGTTCTTAGACAATTTCTAAATTTCGCCGCTAGAGGCGCGTGGATAATCATAATCCTATTAATTTTTGCATCGCCAATGTTAATACAAAACGTACTCTGTGTCGCCATTATCAGTGGGTTGATGACTCTATTTTCATGTCACTGTCAGATTTGATTGTATTCTAATGACAGCTATTTTGCTGTTTCTTATCAAATGGAAACGCAATACAATGAATTAAATCGATTTTTGCCTCAATATTAGTATATAAGCGTAAAAAATGAATTGGTTAAGGATACCGACCAGTGTTAAGCAGTTCACCAGGCAGATAGTTTATGTGCCAAAACATAAACCACCGAATCATGAAGATTTTGAGGTTCTTAAAGATTTTTTATCTAAACACAAAAATATTCTTATCCTGACTGGTGCTGGTATTTCCACAGAATCTGGTAATCATTGCTCCATAATGTAGCATATGGTGTACAACTTTCCTTTACTTTCACTTTAAATAGTTTATTTATTGTCTTTTTATTTCAGGAATCCCTGACTACAGATCAGAGGAAGTTGGTTTATATGCTCGTAGCAATCACAAGCCTATACAATACCAAGAATTCGTGAAATATCCTAAAGTAAGGCAAAGGTACTGGGCCAGGAATTTCATTGGATGGCCAAGGTTCAGCTCTGTGCAGCCAAATGCCACACATTTGGCTATCAGAGAGTTGGAAAAGGTACTTTTATTTATATCCAAAGACTTAATATTCTGCATAAACATTCCTTTGATTCATGTTATAACTTATTATCTGTAAGCTAAGGTTCACTTTATGTTGCAGTTTTGTTATCATACTTCATAGATTTATCTGATAATTACGTCATTATGATTTGTTTACTAATGGATATTACAGATGGGTAAGGTGACATCAATAGTGACACAGAATGTAGACAGACTCCATCAAAAAGCTGGCTCTGAAAATGTAATTGAACTTCATGGGTCAGGGTACATTGTAAAATGTTTGAAATGTCCTTATGAGATCAGCAGGGAAGAATTACAAGTGCAACTTTTGAAGAATAACTCTTACATGGAAAACAGTTTTACTATGATAAGACCAGATGGCGATGTAGAATTACCACGAGTATGTGTTCTAAATATCCTACATTATTGCTGTATTTGTTTTTAATATAGATGATTAATTTGGTTGTCGTTGCAGGAACAAGTGGATAATTTCCGGTCACCACTCTGCCCAAAATGTGAAGGCCCTTTGAAACCAGACATTGTGTTCTTTGGTGATAATGTCCCAAAACAGAGAGTAGACCAAGTCAGGAGTGCTGTGTCTTCCAGTGATGCAGTGTTCGTTTTAGGTTCTAGTCTGACAGTTTATTCAAGCTATAGAATAATTTTACAAGCCCGAGATGAACATAAGAATATAGCCTTACTTAATATAGGCCCCACTAGAGCTGACAATATAATACAAATCAAAGTACATACCAAATGTGGCGACATTCTACCCGCATTATGTAATTCTATAAAAAAGAACCTCAGTTGATATTGTAGTACCTGATTATGTTTGTTATAAATTTTATGTTGTGATATTTGCTACCTCAGAGAACTGTTATTGTATAGATAGGTCAGAATTTAATGACAATATTTTCAATAAATAAAATTCGAAAAATGATGGCATTTCATTTTAATAATTAATAGTATAAAAGAAGTAGGGATACAAAAGTGGTTATAGAATGTATAATTAACATTATAAGCAAATCATTTTACAATTGGTATAGATTAGGATAAATAAATGTAGGGGGAACTTAATGATTGTTACACAGCCCAAATTAATTGTAGGTAAAGATAAAATGGAGAAGGATTTTAAAGTTCTGTAATTTGCTTATGACTGAATGAACTAAGATTAACTGTCTACTATCTAAAGTCAAGAAAACTGATGATTATAAGCATTTGGTTCTGTTGCATCAGTCAGTCATAAGTTCAAATGACAAAATAAGAACAACAATTGAGATCACATTTTAGTTTCTTTTTAGAACATTTCTAAAGCCCTGGAAGTTCTAAGCGTTCCAATGTAGGCGCCAGTTATGACACAAAAAACTCTGTGACTGTCATAACATGGATGTAATTAAAATTTAGGTAAAAAATGAAATGAAATAGAAATTTAGAAACAAGAAATGCACGATGAAAATCTAGTATCCACGCACATAAGTATAGCTAGATTAAGCGCGCACATTGGAATCCGCAGTCCATACAGTTTCGCACACTTTATAGCCTAATTAATCAGAGTTGTTCAGAAAATACTTTTCTTTATTTAAATAATTATTTATCTAATTGAACCATGTAACAATGATAATAGGCGTCAGAATATTCCCTAAGAGAATAATATTATAAAGTAAAAATGTAATTTGTTTTGTCTTCACATCTACAACTACTAGTCAATTGGATTCATAAAATATGGTATTCTCGGCATAACGCCATAATGGTATTATAACTAACAAGAATTTGATTGAAATGTATGAAAAATATGCTTCATTAACAGCTATAAATAGTATTCTAGAACTTTAAATTTGTCTACAAGTACCAAAAATCATTGTATTAATGTAACATGTCTGATGCTATGATTTATTAAAAAACTGCATTTTGCTCTAGACTATATCAATATGAAAAGATCATTAACAATATGCCTACTTTATGAAAATGTGTATCTCTGGCGTTTTATAAGTATATTTTATAATCTCCTTAAACATTACATAATATTTAACGGCAGTGTTCAATGACATCACAAATCACATTTCATGAGCCTGATCTAACATGACAATGCGCAGCAGTAAGCGCCGGAGGCCTACAGGTACCCTTAATTGCTTTTAAGTTTCATAAATATATCTAGGTTTGGTAAATATATATGTGTATATAAATGTATAACATATTTGATAACATGGTGATAAGTTTTCGGAATCATTTACTAACAGTTTTAGCTTGTTTTTATAATGAACACTCTGCTTATCCTACTCATTGTTCGTCACATTAATGCGTACTAAATACATATACTTAATAAAGATTTATCAAGTGGTCACCTAATAATGATACAATGAATACAATAATAACTTAATCAATGGCATATATTTAAAATGGTAAAATGCCATCTAGTTTAGTAAGGGACTAACAATCAAAAGAAATGCCTGTAAGTAACAAAAAGGATTCATTACACTAAGTCAAGATTACATTATAAATTATTTGCCTGAGAGGATTTAACTTAACTCGCATTCGGTCGTGGAACGCGAAAGTTTGTACTAAACTATTGATTCTAAGTCCAAATATCCTCAAAACGCCACATCACTTACATGGAAGTTTTTGGTATAATGGTAGAAAAGTGTGTACTATCTCATAGGTATACCAAATACTTGGGTGCAGTTCGGAGATCCGAGGGCGCTGCCAACTCGCGATAACGGGAAGCCAGCTAATGTTAGACACATATTCAATGACTTAAAATAAACACATTCAACTTACAATTCAACACCAGTCTTAAGATCACAATTAAATTATTTCCACATGAAATGTTTTGTCACTACAATAAAACCGTACGTAATACTAGATGTGTCGCTCGCTCATGTGTCAATTGTCTATTGTACGCAACATTATAAGAAATAGTCGGCTTGCGGCTTCTTCGAGGGCACACCTCGAGACTCTTGAGGCGCGGCCTCGAATATCGTAAACTCTCGCTGAAGATTTTCGTTCAATTCTAATATTGCTGCCACATTTCCACATCTGTGGATACAAGATTTATGTCAGTTTATACCTTAAATTGTTAATCAAGTGATAATTCAATACAAGGATCGTTGACCCAAGGTTAACATTTGTAAGTGTTAACACATACTAACATCTGTAGTATTGATTTATAGTATCTTTGGTTAATGATAAACATAGCATGCAATAAAAATAATACCATAAGATAACTCTGGGTGAGTTAGCGTGAATCAAGTTATTTATATAAAGAGTAAAAAATAGTTCAACTAACCTGTAACAATAATTAGGAGCAGACCAGACAGTAAGCACAGTCTCATTGAAGTGCCACTTATAGCCTTCCATTACAAGTTGATGTGCACGGCAGATCATGTCAATGTCATTGGATACGTTGAACTGAGCGACGACATCTGAACCAAACAGATACCCAGCACCACGAGGAGATACCCCCCAGCCTTGGGTATCTGAAATACATTCTAAAATAGAAAATTGTCATGAAATGAATGATTAATATGGAATGATATTTATTGATGCCAATACGACTTTTAGTGCTTGTAGACGACTGCTTCGGAACGTTTTTTCAACCAGATTTGCGGTGGTGGTGTGTCGTTTATAATGAATGTCCGCCTGCTTTTATTTTGAGGGAAAAATCATCCAATGGCTTCTCCCGCCCGAGTGAGGTGAGAGGGAGTGTCAGACTCTTACTGCATAAAAACACCCCGTTCCCACTCCTGCATTTCGAGTTGGAACGCCGGCAACCCTGTAAGTCCTCCGTATATGTCCACCTGCTAAGCTAACTCTGTAACTATCAATTCGAACTTTCTCACACCGAGTGACATGGCGAACCGCGTTCGAGTTTACTTCGAACTTTCGAAAAAAAGTTACAGAATAGCCTAGCAGACATCGGTCCGGTGTATAGTAAGCCGGACGAGATACCGGATGTCTACAAGTGCTCCTAAGCTACATGCAGAGTACGACAAATTGAAATCTAACTACTGATTACTAACTACGACTACTTAAAGTAGTTAATAATAATGATTACAGATCACATTATATAATCGTAAAAAGTAGTTAAACATATTGATTTCTAACTAACCATTGTAGTTATAATCACGATTACGAGATTACTTTTCATAACTACACATTAAAAATAATATTGCGTTTTATAAAAAAAACTAAAGTTCGTCACAGACATAGCTAAAATATTATATTTCTACGTGTCCTAATGGCTAATTTGAATGATTAGCCCAATTGACATATTTTTATTTTAGTTGATTCGCAAATCATTCAAATTAAGTCCAAGCTGTGAATTAAACTGATGATTTTTTATGCAGTCAGATCCTGTAACTTATATAAAAACAAATTACAATGTTTATTTAATGGCAAAATATTAGACGAAAAAGGCAAAATCAGTAGTTATAACTACTAGATTCCAGTAATCAAATTAATAACTACTTCATGTAGTTAAATTACTTTAATTAAGTTACAGACAACTACATGTAGTTAACTACTTTTAATCGTAGTTATTAATGAGATCACAAAATAGTAGTTAACTACGCCCTATACTGGCTACATGACAATTTTAAGGTACTAGATGCGGCATGTATTTGGAATGAATCGCTGAATGTGTTGCAATGTGAACCAATTAATATGAAAATTAAACACTATTATAAAAATAATATCGTCAGGGCTAGTGCATATCCGCGGAATTACCATTGGATAAATCCGCGTATCTGAAAAATGTAGGTAATTCAAGTTTTCGCGAAAAAAAACCCGCAATATCTTAATTGGCTGACACCGCCATGACACGAGTTCATTTCGACTCATTTTTAACTCGTCGAGTACCGGTTTTATAGATACAATTAAAGAACAATAGGTCGCGGTCACCGGTGACCGCTTGGTGTTTGACAGTTTAATAAAACGCTTCAAATTAATTGAATTCAAAATGTTATTAAGTTTTAACCGTCTCCTGTAAAGCTGTATCTATTGCAGATACGCAGCCTTTACATACATATGGTAGATTCGCGTTCGCAGATTTGCACTATCCCCGACGGCAGTTAATGAAATGAAGTTAGGGAGTATTCCATACGTAACGCAATTTGTGCCGATTTTAGAACCTCCCTCCTATTAAACGCACCGTAACTTTGCTTTACCCCTCCCCCTCCCTTAACATTACGTAATGTTACTCACCATTATGTAAACAAAGAATAATAATTTTGTTTGTTACATGAAAGAAGAAATTTATTATGTGTGCATTTTTTTGTAATGGCTAAATAAAAGGCTAATATCAATACATAAATAAAAACCAAGTCCACACACAAGGGATTCCCCCAAATAAAAACAGAAAGAGTTGTTGAAAATCAAGAATTCCTTAGTCATTTATTAAAATAAAAAAGAATCTTATGTAAAACATTGTATAATACCCTTTCCCGCCCTTGTGAAACACTGTTTGGAAGACTCCCCTACCCACAGATTGTGTTACGTAATCCATGAATGCTCCCATATTATGCCAGTCAAACCTTGAATTGTTTATGCTAAGGTTTTGAACCTTCAGAATAATGCCAACTGTAAAAATCCTTACTAATATTATAAATCTGAAAGTGAGTTTGTTTGTTTGTTTGTTTGTTTGTTCCACCTTCACGCCGTAACTACTCAACCGATTGCTTTGAAATTTTGCAGACGTAAAATTAGAAGTCTGGATTAAATAATAGGGTATTTTTTATCCCGGAAAAATTTGATATTCCCGAGGGAAAACAAAAGAATTGGTATAGATGGCGCTGTGTATTGGTATATGTCACATAGGCTACTTTTTATCCTTTTGTGACGCGAGCGAAGCTGCGGGTAAAAGCTAGTAATATATAAAATCCACAAACCTTCAGGATCGCTCCACAGCAGGTCACACATTGGTCCATCATGGGGCACCTCTTGCTTGCGGTCAATGGTGCGGATTTGGTCAAGGGTCTGTATTGAGGGACTCAATCCACCATGTACACAGAATATTCTCCCATCAATGATGGCTGACAGTGAGAGGTAGTCAAAAATCTCCGTGCAATACCTATGTGAAATAAATAGGTCATTAAATATAGTATAAGCATACACACTATTGGTAAATATTCCAAAAATATGAATTAAAAAAATATATTAAATTAAGGTTGAAATTGATAACATTAACATAATAACATTAAATGTTATTAATAAATGAATGTTGTTAATAACTCATCAGTTTTTATGAAAGACAATGTTGTTTTTGAAGGGAAGACAATTCATAAGAAAACATGAGTAAAATTAAAATAGATACAAATGAGATATAAATATAAATACATAGTTACTCATAAGACAATATTTACTATTTGGTATGAATGTCAACTTACCTCCAGACAGTGATAGATCCATATTTCCTAAGACATTCATCATAGAAGCCATACACCTGAGTGATCTGCCTCGACTCATGGTTGCCTCTGATTAGTGTGATGCGGTCTGGGTAACGAACCTGAGTAACATAATACCTCACTTTAGTTAAATTGAATTATATTAATTACTGTTATATGTGGAGGTCTCTCCTTGGGATTGACCGAGTGAAAATGTGCACCGTGTCCCGCAACCCGCAGGAAAAACGGTGCTCATAGCCCCCTTCTAAACAATTATTAAAGCTTACAATATTTCGTATTATTTATACAGTTATAAGTTAACTTAATGTATAAACTAATGCTTTTATCATCATCATTTAAAACTCATTCTCTTCGAATTTTAATGTCTTCTAAAGAATTATTATGTTACAGAAGGTGATGATTCACATTAATGTATATGATTTAAAAATCTATGAAAAGTGAACATCACACAGATCAATTATAACTTTGTAACCTATTACATTTCCCTTTTGTTACAATTATTGTTGGTAAGTATTGACAACAAAAGAATTACTGGGTTTTTAAAAAAAATCTCAGTAGTAGCACAGAGTCTGGAAATGTGCCCGGTATATGGCAATAGGCTCACCCCTTATTCAGGGCCGGATTTAGGGGTCCAGAGGCCTCGGGGCAACAAAGGAGTGGAGGCCGCCTTGCCCCAAATTATTTTTCAGATTGAGATCGAGGACGCTCGCTTGATTTCGAGGACGCTCAAAAACGATCGAGGACGCTCGATTGATTTCGAGGACGCTCGATAGATTTCGAGGACTCTCGATAGATTTCGAGGACGCTCGAAAACAATCGAGGACGCTCGAAAACGATCGAGGACTCTCGATAGATTTCGAGAACGCTCGAAAACAATGGAGGACGCTCGAAAACGATCGAGGACGCTCGATTGATTTCGAGGACGCTCGATAGATTTCGAGGACGCCCGATAGATTTCGAGGACGCTCGAAAACGATCGAGGACTCTCGATAGATTTCGAGGACGCTCGAAAACGATCGAGGATACTCGATAAATTTCGAGGACGCTCGACAGATTTCGAGTTTAAGAATTGAAGAATACCAATTGTTCACATACTGCAATTAATATTTTTAATGGTCGATACACGGAATCGAATAGCCAACCTCCGAGGTTGCGGGCAAGTACCATCCCACTGAGCCATTGAGCCATTGGGGTACTCCCTCAAGATGGGTAGTAAATTGGAAGTGCTTATCAGAGCCATTTGAGATTTTGATATTTCACTGATTGCCTGATTGGAGTGAACAAATATAGATCAATGATTTCTGTTTCTGTTAATATTTAAAATTAATATAATCAAATAATCATGTATGTATAAAGTACTTTAGGCTGTAGGTAAAGGTAAAAGCGAAAAAAAAGTATCAAAGCAAAGATGTTTACTAGGTTTACTAGTTGAAATTTGAAAGATTTTTTTTCCGAAGTCTATTGTGGAGGCCCCGGGGCTTTCGCCCCGGTTGCCCCCCCCTTAATCCGGCCCTGCCCTTATTACATGGGACTCACAATATAAATAGTGAAAAGTGGGTATTACTTCTACCTCTGCCTACCCCTTTGGGGATAAAAAGTGTGATGTTATATTATGTTATGGTATGTATTGACAACACACAGGTATCCTTGAAGTGACACAAATCTTGAAGTTAATGTGTTCTTGGTTGTTTGTCCAGTCTTGGTTGCATGATAGTGTATATAAGATTTTACCATCTGAAAAATGGTTATATACCTTACAATAAACATATCAACTTACCTTTAAAGCAAGTAGTAATAAGAATGTCTCCACAGAATAGAATCCTCTGTCTACAAAGTCACCCATAAATAAATAATTGGTCTCAGGAACATCTCCACCCACTTTAAACAGTTCTTTCAGATCATAGAATTGACCATGAATGTCACCACACACCTGGAACAACAGTTACATTAGGTATTCTGCACTCAACACAACGTTTGTTGTACACTTTAATTATTTACAAACAACAGCGCATCATGCATCAAACAGTCGTCGAAACTAAATTCCTCATCCACTTTTAACATGAAGCAACAGCAACACTGGATTTGTAGCCAGAATATAAGATCAGCATAACCAGAAATCAGATGTAATCAATGTTTATCTCAAAACGATCGCAAAGATATGTGAAAGGTTAATTACCGTGACAGGAGAATCTACCCGCTGAACATTGCTCTCTTCGACAAGAATTTCGCGGGCCTTGGCACAAAGTGCTTTAACCTCGGACTCCATTATGATCTCGCATCTTTTCAGCTGCTCAATTTGACGGTCTAGATCACTCGTATCAGACATTTTTCTAAATAAAATCACCACGCTTTATCTGAAGGCAAAAATAGTACCAGTGAGTAATACTATGATTACATGACAAGATGATAACGTGGATAATATGACCGAAAATAATTATAACTGAGAAATGAATAAGTGTTAGACAACTCACAGTTTTAAAGAACTTATTGGTATGTTTGCTTTTTGGTTATTTTACATCAGCAGCTCAAATTCTTTCTATATACAAACAATCACAATGCCTCCGCCATTACAAAACGTTCAATCTACCATAGATATTGGTGATTTCTTGTCTATACTTTTTACCCGTAGACTTTCTAGTGTTGCACTCTGACTTTTACGAATACGAGTCCAGGGGATCAAGGGGGCTGATATTACAAAACCGTTTTGTACAATATTTTCCAGTTTGGAGGTTAAAACTGGGTAATTAATACGCAATTTATTATGTTAAGCTTGGTAAATTTATGATTGAATTCACTGATTGGACATAAAAGTACTGACTGATAAGTTCAGAATCAGCTACTGTGACTTTGAATTTTATCTGTGAATTTTGTCTATGACACCCTGTAATCAGTTCGTTACTTCATTCCTTTCATTCATTGTTGTTTGTTATATTTATTGATTTAGCGAAAGTTGTTTTTTTTCGTAAAAACAGTAACACAGTGTTGTTTTGTGAGTTTTCTTTGAACTTTGAGTGAAAAATGGGCAACATACACACCGTGGGACCGAATGAGGCACTAATAGTTTCAGGTAAATAAGGAATAAAGTGTCTTACACAATTTTTCATGAGTTATTATGAACATTCGGTGATTTATCAGGTATAATTATTGAAGATGTACCTATAACAAATGTATTGGAGAACAGTAGTAATGTACTATTTAAATAAAAATATAAGATGATGTTTTTTGGTACTGATAACAAAGTAACCTCTTATCTCGTATCTGCTAAGCGCTGTATTTGCGGTACATCTATATACCGGGGATGTATATTGTTGCGCAAGTACCTATGTATGTTTTAAGAGTAGTGGGTACTACACAATCCTTGTGGTTTAGAATCTAATGAAGTAGTTGAACACACGGAACAGAGAAAAATTGATGAGTCCACGCCCAAAATTGCAGCATATCCTATACATACATCTACAAACAATTTATCTGGCTCCGTCTATGACGGCGCTCACGCATATTTTTAGCGAGTCGAGCGGCTATCAAGAGTCTGCATTTTGGGAACAATTAAAATTGAAGGTCATGATGTGTGCATACGTTTTTTGCAGTCTACTTAAATAAGAATCTTATTGGATATTCTTGTTTACATTCGTAACTTGTATGAAATATAAAATTAAATATTTAGCGTGGCAGTGTTATTTATAATTCTGTTGGTATCCAAAATGTCGCTGACGTTATTCATGTAGGTAGTTTTATTGTCTAAAATTAATTCTAATTTAACCAATAAATGTGGAAATAAATATGGAACAAGTTTCGATCTATTACTTTATACGTGAATACTAGGTACGTTTATTTTGTTGCTTAGATTTGTTGTCTATTTTTCACGTTTTCAAGGTTTTCCTAGTTTAGTCCCATAATTTGCATCGCAATTTTATGCTGGCTAGAGCTTTAATGGCATGCCCAATTATCTAGTTACATAGACATAGGCGCGTCAGAGGTGATCTCATACACGGTCAATACAATGCCTATGTAAGGTCGTAGCGATTGTGATTCCCTATCCACAGGGTCGCAATGGTTTTATTTAGGCCATTGCTGGACAAAATTCGCCGCAAAATAGGGCCAGCTAAATAAAACTGTACAATAATATTCTCATTCATGAATATATTGTAAATTATTGAATATAACGTAAGTATTTATTAAATTGAAGTCATTTTATCTAAATAGTAACTGAAGTTCAGCAACTCATCTGTGCTATTCTATAACCCTGGTAACTTGAGGATATAATGGTTCCAAAATACAATGGTCCATAAGAGACGACCGCATCTAATTATTTAATTACGGATCATTGTTTGAACGTACGACAGACTCGAGTTGCGAGTTACAAAGGAATATACTAAGGCATATAATTAACTATGTGTTTATCTTCATTGCTGTTACAGATTTCGTTATTTTAAAGAAGCAAATATATAAAATGAAATCTGAAAGCAATAGCAAATACACAAATAATATCCGCATGAAATGACCCCCAGTCAAATTATGGTTGATAGCATTATAATTGAGAACTTGCGTCACCAAATTCTGCTTTTAAACGTAATCTTTATTCATAATAATATAAACATTTTCAGAACGAGCGCATTTAAAGGTGTTCTACGTCTTAATTCATTGAGTACTTACTAATGTACCTTCCGTTTAGTATGACTGATGACAAAAATATTTGTAATTATCATTGAAGATAAGGTATTACCGATTACAAGCACTTCTCATGTCAATACAATCGAATTATCAGTAATCTATCGCTTCATATTATCGTATTTTGCTTTAGATCCTTTTAATTGTAATCGAATGACGTGTTTCCGTACACAATCTTCAAGCATTATTCGTATCAGCTGTGTTAGCAAAAAGGAGATAAATAGTATTTCAAGAATTGCCATAATATCTGATACTGTCACGTCAGGACTAGTTCGCGATATTTTATACGATGTCGACTATTCAAATATGTTTATATACCTATAGCTAGTTTGTAACATCATACGTAAATTCGTACTTTAACTACATTTGTATATGTATTATTCATGAAAAAGAATAAAGCAATCAAAGCAAGGCGTGGTTGTAGAAATTTGGCGGTACTTGGGATGTTGTAAAGATTTATTAAGATAGAGTTGATGTCTCTCACTTTCAGTGGCAAAGAATCGTCTGAATCGTAGATAGGAAGATATCGTTTTTTGAACAAGGAGCTCAAAAGATATCTTTGAAAATATCTTATGTGAAGTTCTCTCGAAATATATGAATGAATAAAAATACTCAAGTGTTTGTCTCAGTTGAATCATTTATTATAATATTTTCCTTGTCATAGTTTCTTCCTAACGATGTCTGCTAATAATCTATTTATGTCGGAGTTTTCCTTATCTACAGTAACGTGTATAAAAACCTGTCCTGGGATGCTTGCTGTTTAGACTGCTACTACTTCTACATATCTAATTATTAAACGTAAAATTGTGAAACTTTGCGAGGTCTCTTTGACAGTAGCACTTACAACGACTAGACATACAAAGAAGTCAAATAATTCACATATTTAATTTAATTTTGTTTAAATTTAATAAATATTACCTACGTTTCTTATGAGCATATTAAAATTAATCTAAATAACCTCGATACCAGGTTATGTCTAAATCCTAAAGGAAGTTCTCAATTCGTTCTTGTGAATGAATTCATACATATCCTATCGGTGGCTTTGCCTGGATGCAGATGGAGCATGGATCTCCATACTAACTAGTTTCAGTCCCCGAAAAACTTCAAATCTGTTTTATTTAGAATAACTTCCAAGTCCTCTTAATCATATCAGCACCCTTTTCTCCAATCATAATGGCTGGTGCGTTTGTGTGAGCGACTATCGTCCTCGGTATAATACTGCTGTCAACGACTCGTAAATTACTGACTCCGTACACTCTCAGTTCTGGGTCTACCACCGCCTCAGGATCCGTAGGAGGACCCATCTTACACGTCGTTATTTGATGATGCAACGTCGCAGTCACTGTCCTCACAGCACACTCCCAATAACTATCGCTTCCAAACTCATGTTGCTTACAGTTCGGGAATTTCTTCTTGTGCAATGTTGCTCCGTATTTCCTGAATGGCGGTGTATCCACGAGTTTGATAATATACCTTATTGCAGCTATCATTGTGTCTACGTCCTGTTGATGTGTTAGGTAATTACCATATAGGGCAGGTTGTTGGTAAGGATCTGCCGATTGCAACTTCAAATAACCTTTTGATTTAGGATGCAGTAACATGAATAGGACAGTAAAACTTTCAACGTTTTCTATTGGTTTGTAGACATCATTGTACAGCCAATCGGCCATACGAATACCTTTGGCTACAATAGTTCCTTCATCAGAAGCTAAAGATGCACAGGATCCTAACAATTCAATGTCTGGATAGTCGCCAATTTCATTAGATATGTTCGTTTTTATGTATCCAATAGTTTCGACCCCGGCTAAAGAAGACATGGGACCATCACCATATTGGTCGTACTGGATTGTATTCTGTATTGTAGCAATTTTCTTCTCGACAAGTGTTAATCTCGTCTGATTCAAAGTAAATGCTAAAGCCGGGAAGGAAATGTGATCATATAGTGATTCGCCCACTTTGAGATCTTGTATTACGGGTATTCCAAAAGATTGCAGTTGTTTTCTTGGTCCTATGCCAGAAAGCATTAGTAAATGTGGTGATTCAATGGGACCTGCTGACAGTATTACTTCCTTGTTGGCTCTGATTTGGTATACTCGTCCATTTTTATGGAATTCAACACCAACTGCTTGTTTATTAACGGGATCTATAATAACTTTAGTTGCTCTGCTGGATACTAAGATGTGTAGATTCTTCCTCTTTTTGTTCTTATGTAGAAATGCTTTGGCACTGCTGGCCCTCTGTCCTCTGGTAAGCGTTGCTTGAATATAATTGAATCCAAATGCGTCTGGGCTGTTGTAGTCTACTCTGCGATGACCGTATAATTTCGCTGCGTCCAGAAAGGCTTTAGATAACTTAGATCTGAAAAGATAGAAGAACGATTGAAATGCTGAAAGACGACGATGATGTTATATTTAAAAATGACTTCAGCAAGAACGAATGCTGTTTTTATCTGCTGATAAAATATTTGAGTGTCTTTTTTTCACAAACACAAGTAACTATATACGTGTCAAATCGGTCATAGTAATTGAAACATCTAATGCCGAACATTTACTCTGCACAAATGTTTGAGCAATGTTACAATGAACTTGGTTAAGCGTCAATGTATATATCAATATTACATTTTGTTTATGAATTTGACCATTTTTTTTTTATTCCAAGTATGTTTTAGAATATACATGTTCTGATATAGATTACAAACACTTAATATTCTTCGTAGGGTGTGGCCTTATTTTTACAAAATGATCATTCTGTTAGTAAAATATCGTTTACATACTGAATGTGATTCATGATTCATGCAGTGATAATAAGTATTCGTATGTACATATCTAACTACTTGCATATGTATACTTAAATTTCTAGGTATTATGTGTATCTTATCCTACTAGTAGTGTAAGTGATAATAACCTGAATGGGATGTCTTCCACGGAGAGTTCACCGTCTCGTCCATGCCACGGCGAGTTTCTAAGTCCTTTCAGATCAGCCCGTTCTGATTTTATGTAGTACGGTATAACATCGTTATATGACCTGTAATATCAAATGTCTGGTTAGATAAAAATATATTTTTAGAAGATTCGTGTAGTCTTTCGGTAGTGATGTTATTGCATATTGAGAATAAGATAAGACTTTATGAGTGTAAAAATGTTTTAATAGTTCACAATTATGATGAAGTATCGTAATTTGTATTGTATTTTAGGTCAGTCTCCCTATTGATGATTTATTTATTTATTTCAATTAAAATAGTATAACATTACAGTCATAAAATCAGGGCGTTACATTATGATGAAACTGATAAAAATGTAGCTGTGTCTCATCGAGAACATTTAAAAATCATAATTATGCGATCACAATCTCTTGTTTCATACGAAGTATGTGGATGTGTTATGTAATGTTTAAACACATATTTAATCAATTGGTTAGTTTACATTGTCGCTTGTAATTATAGGCCTACTACCAGCTATTCTAATTCTAATTGCAAATAATTTGGTAGCAATAAAACTTGTGTTTGACGTATAAACCTTCTTAAATGTTGATTTTATCCGTGGTTTTCCTCACCGATATACTGCAGTCATTTGTCTCAGTTGAACGGAATTTGAATATTTTTTTTAAATCATCCGAAGCCTCGAATTACATCGACCACATTGGCGATATATTAAAAAAGGGCCAAATTAAAAATATCCTTAACTACGACCATGACTGAAAAGACTCATGACATGACTGATAAGAAAGCGAAAGAGGTATGTAAGAATCGTAGCAATTCGCGTTCCATAATCTCTGCCTACCCCCATGGAAGACAGGCGTGAGGTTATGTAGTATGTATGTATGAGTAACAATTTGTTCTTTGTTTTCAGGTACGTTCCTTTGACATCTACACAATGTAAGTGCTGATTGATGGTACTCATAATTGATGATGTTGTTTGAATGTAGGCTCACCATCCATAGTTGCCGGCTGCTGCGATCCTGTCCCAATCCTCCTGCATACCTCTGGTGTAGATCATGTAGTTGACCACGCTTGTTCCACCCACCGCTTTACCTCTCGGCCAGAAGCACTTACCATCCACCATCCCTGAAACATACAGAATGCAAGACTCAGATATTGGTATGAATGGTAATTTCCTCATTCAGTAATTAGTTTAAACTTCGTTATGTTGTGTGTAATTTTAGATTGTATCCTGTAGTTGTAGTTATCCTTAAATAAAATTGCATGTTTTGTATATTGTAAGGTAGACGACATTATTAAAAGAGGATAATGCAGTCGTAATACTTATACTAGCTTATTTCGAGCATATAAAGTCTGTCTGGTATTTTTAAGGTATAAAATGGAATACATTGTCTACAAGTAATTAAATATTACATACTTAATGAGACTAGACCTTGAAGTATGAGTCAGATTATCAAAAAAGTTTAATTAACTTAAAGTCTTACCTGTGCAAACTCCTGGCTGATATTCCATGAGGTAAGGCCAAACATAATCAGTTTGTTGTAGCACCGGTGCCAGAATTGGTACGTCCGTTATCAGTGACTCTCCACGACCAGCTTCTATGAGCAGGACCGTAGTCTTCTTGTCTTCCGTGAGACGGGAAGCCAACACGCTCCCAGCTGATCCTGCTCCCACGATTATGAAGTCGTATTCCGAGAGAGGTCCTTTGAAACCTGTAATGGATTTAAAGATTTGATAGTATTGAATTGGATTTGTCAACTTGTTGCTTAATTGACGAGTGGTTTGATTAACCATAGGTTAACGGTTAACCTATCTAATATATATAAGGGATTAAGAATAGTATAGTTATAATAGAATAGTTAAGAATAGTATAAATAAGGGATTAAGAAATCAAAGCCAATAGTTTTATTTCCTAGTTTCCATGCTCTCTAGTATTTTGACGCCAAATTGAATTTGAATACTGGGGGCTTAAGGTATGCATTCTACGATATATGGGTACTGATATCTATGTATCTAATTAAAGCTCTGAATTTTGAATGTGGAAATTTTTCTCATATTTTGCAAAAAGGCTTGGCCACAGAAAGCTTTAAGAAGAGACGAATGGAAGGAGGGTAGGGAGGCCTTTGCCCTGTAGTGGGACGACCATGGCTAAAAATAAAAAAAATGCAATACTTCTTCCGCAAATGCTTCGCTCGTCAGCGTGTGACATAAACTAAAGAGATTTAGCGCTCCTATGGTTTAGTTTTGTGGATATCCCTACGCAAATTGCCGTCACTGATTTAACTAATTTAATGATACATATTTCTAAGTCTAAAATGACAAAGAAGCGACGTCCTACTTCCTACTTCATGAGTTACTGTTGCCCAAGGCCGCTTCCGTATGTTTTCTAATTAGTCATTAAAATATGCCATAAAAAATTAAGGAAGGTTGGCCACAATAATCCGGTTCGGTTTAAAATTAAAATGTATGTTATTGTTATTATTTACATAATTTATATTTCAGAAGCATTGTTCGTCATAAGATCGCCGGTCGTTTTGTCACTCTACTATTAGTTTCTGTTGTAAGTTGTTCACGTAAGTTTGAAGTCTTATATGTTTATTACTATTATAAGCATAACCTGCATAACAGTTGAACAGATTTTGACGAGATTTTGCATCTGACCTTGATAAGCACCAGACCATATTTTATTGTAAAACAGGTGCAAACATGTAAAATATTGTTTACTTGTCCAGATATTGATATGTTTGCGGTGAGAAAGCTTATCGATAGATGGTATTCTAATCTTGTACGACACTTTGTTATCAAATATTTATTTAAAATTCCTTGTCAATTTCTTTCAAGTATGTTCGGATAACTGATAAAATCACTTTTGGTACAATTCAAGTTGGAAAACAATAATTCGAACATAGTACCTCCTCCTTTTTTTAAAGTCGGTAAAACTCGTTAGTAGCCTGACAAAAATTACAACGTTTCTAACTTTATAGTTTTCTTTAATTGAAGCCTTAGCTATGTGATGCGCTGGCCGTCTGGACATTTTATGCATGAATCATACTGCATGTCGCATCATGCCTGGATTAATTAACGCTGTGTATGAAATATCTAGGTTATGGAGTCATCAGTGTAACTTAGGTATAGAATATATACACAAGGGACCGTTGTCATACAGTATCACAACTTTCTCATCATCAAACTAGATTCCGTGTTTTTCGTGAACAAACATTTAATGTAACAGTTATGAATTTAATCAATATATGTAATTAAAATATAGTAATTGAGATCCATATATTATTAGATATCGTCCAAACTATATACCCTCGCGGGCTGGTTCAATTTCTTACAAAAGCTGGGGGCGGAGGGTCAGAAAAATGTTTTCAGTTACGTTACGTACGTTATAACGTTTAATACTATATTCTTTACTCACAGACTGTACACCGACTGTAGACAAATCATGCAGCCCGCGGGCCTTTGTTTGGACAGCCCTGGTCTAAGGTATTCGGCAATATTCGTTATTTACCAATTGGTTTATTAAATGCTGTGAATGACTTTGAGAAATGTGAACAAGTAATTTACTTCCTTGATTGACTGACATCGGCTTACGCACACGGCACTAGATGATATACACTTTATTATTTAAAAACTTTAATCATTCATATGCGGAAATGTACGTTATTGACGAATTGGGTTACTAAACTGACCACTACGTTAAAAAAGTAGGAGATAACCACGACTGTGTCTTTGGTCATAATATTAGGAGGTCAGTAATAAACTATTGAGGTCAATATGGCAAGTTGAATGAATTTAAAATTCTTACAGGAATCCAGAATCTGGAATAAGGGCTCGTACACAATGCGAATTCGCAACGTAAAAAATTACGATGCGAATTGCTGCGATGCCATTTTGTGCGACAAGGCGTCTCCCAGGGTGACCATTCCTTCGACGACCGTCCACCGTACTAAACGTATTTTAAATTGAAAACTAGGTCGTGTCGTGGATCGTAAAAAGAAGAGTGCACTTCTGTTATTGCTTAGGAGATACAGGAAAAAGAAACAAAGAAGGGGAAGATAAGATTTCGATGCACGATGCGAATCGCAAGTTCTTGCGATGCGTAGAGGGAGGTCGCACATTTTTGTGATGCGACGTCGCATCGCAGTTTTGTGTACGAACCCTTATGCGGGGTGTGAATGCGTGTAATAAGCTTCTTATTTTAATGCGATGGTATTTATGTAAAATAACAATTAATACAATCGACTGACCACAACACATTCGTTATAAAGAATAAAAAATATAAAATAATATAATTAACTGTCGCTTCCTGTGATTAACACCATTCATAGTAGTTTTAATCGTATTATGCGCTTATCGAACTTAATTTGCTGCGAAATTTTAATCAACTACTGTCAGAACGGTGCTTATACATGTCATCAACGATAAAGGCGCTTTAATGTAAATAAATTATGAGAAAAATGGCTTTATGTAAGGAAATGACCTAAAATCGCGGGTTACTCACGTGAATATACTGACAAAAGCGCTACTAGTTTCGAACCACAGAGGGGTTCTTCCACATGAGCATCCTCATTTATGTAAGTAATTGGATTATAACAATGATCTAGGTACCGCATACCTACTCAATATTTTTTTGGTATTAGCCCACAGTAGGTTTTTCTCCTGTACTGTGGCTGAATTGAAGCCCGCGATACGTTGTACAGCAGCTCTTCATAGCCAATGCGTCAACTGTGCATTCAGTCGGCTAATGTAGCTCTTAAATAGCTTTTCAGCAATTATATTTGTTTGAATATATCCTGCCGTTTTTGGTTATAAAATCTTTATCTAAACTATGATGCAAACACTAAAAATCTTCCAAATACAAAGTTAGTTTCACAGATTAGCAACTTTTTATCATCTCTCAATTTGTAAGTAAGTACAAATGACTTAATACAAGTTCATTGACTCAATGTACTTAGTTTTCCTTTATAAGACTTATTTACAGTTAAAGTAATTGAGAAGACGTGAGTACTTGACTTCATATGAATAGAACAGTTAGACAAACGTGGATTGTATCGAAAGCACGTATTGTAAACCTTAATGAGTGTTTTCATCAAGAAGGATTTGGCAGAGAACCTTTGTAGAACCATTTTCTCCAGTTTTAGGACGAATTTTTAATTCTATAATAGTATTCATTAATTGTTATTGAAATCGATAACTAGCAATACTTTGCATTATCTAAATTATTCCAGATCAATGCATCTCTTCGTTCTTTTCAGAACAATAAATAAACAATAACACGAACAATAATTTGGCTAATAAAGGTTGAATTATCCAATAAACTGAAAAACATAAAGGCATTTTCAAAATAACTTACAAGCCCTTGATCATAAGTGAAGGTTGATACAAAAAATTCGTCGTCATTGCTATAATGACGTAAATTAAAAAAAATATTTTAAAAGTTGTCCCACTAGTCACACACGATCTTGGTTTTTAAAAATATAACAAAACCGGTCAATAGGTATTGTCTCAAGAATATTATTGGGACCACTTTGAAAATTTAATAACATAACACATGTTATTACAATTATCAAAGTGGTCCTTCTGAACCTAAATACAAATCTACCTTATTTTGATATTAGTACATTCGCTACTTAATTTAATGATAGTGATGCGTAGGAATATTACAATGCCGGAATGTATCTATCTTTTATGCATACGAATACCTATTTAGGAAAAAATAACACTTACTGCGATACTCAGAGACATTCAATGATTACTTAAACTATTCCTTAGTAACGAAAACAATTGCTAAGGGCTGGGTTAAGTAACCATTAAATGACTCTGAGTATGGCGGTTATAACTTTCGTAAATTAATAAATCAATGAAAATTTGTACATACCTTTAGGCAATTCATACTGGTCTCTCAAAAATGCAAATATATCAGGTTCATCCTTTTTTAAAGGCAACACTTTAGTGCTCATCATTGCTTCTAAGACATGACTCTTGACTTGAGATCCTGACCTCTTTTCTCTAAACCCATTTTCGTCACAGTAACCTCTGCATTCTCTCGGTACAGCATAATCTTCTTCCTCAACAGTCACATATTCTTCATAATTATATACAGAACTTGAACTATTTTGTAATAAATAAAAAAATATTAAAAATAAAATATTATTTTTCATTTTGTCGCCTATATTGCGAAGTAACACTGTTCTTGGCCGTGATCAAGATCATTCTGAGGTTGGCTTGCGATTTAGTTGTTTGCATTAACCGGTTTAACAGTTAAAGCTATTATTTCATTTTATTAGAATTTAATTCGGGAAATGAGAACTATGAACTTGAATTAGGTGTAAAGTAACATCTTGGAGAAAGAAAGAGTTTATTGTAACGGTCTATCATCACCGGTACCTACATTTTTTTAGCGATTAATGTGGGGTTCGGACATTAATATCTATCGGATTATTTTAGTTTAGTTTTTTTTTTATATTTTGGTTGTTTTTGTGATTGAAAACAGGTATTAAAAAGAAAGTTTGTCTTCAGTAATTCGTATAATTATGATAATATATTATTTAGATAGGAAGTAGGGTTTTGCGGTTCGAATAGTGAGTCGTAAAGTGTGTAGTTTAAGAAAAGGTCGCCGCTGATAATCCTAAAGGTACTGTTAAACATTGATGTTATCAGTATTATTTATAATTTTTTTCAAATGCGTAAAGTAATATTTTTGGTAGGGATTATGGACCGGGCAAACTTGGGTTTTAAAACCGGTTCGGGCAAGTTCAAAATCGTTGTTTTGTGTTAAACGATATGCAGTATTTAATTATGCACACATGTTGATTTAGTTAGATGATTGCAGACCCGGAGTCCGTCGACCCTTAATTATCTGATTTTTGGCAGACAGCTTCTTACTTAAGAAAACAAAACAAAAAAATAACGATTGAACCCAAAAATTGTCCAAAAAAGTGATTAAAACTATAATCCAGGTGCTTTAATCTGTTTAAGACATCGTTGCCAGATCATCACATGGTTTTGTTTTTATTTAGATTTTGTTTTATTTGTCGGTGTAGTTATTAAGCACTTACGTCATCTATGCCGGTTTTCACCATTCTCTCGTAAATTTTAACGAACCCCTCAAATATAATAGGTGACATTTAACGACATTTTGGTATTCAGCAAACAAACGCCCAACGTGTGCCAGCTACGTCACGCGAAGTCATTTTTAGTTAAGTGGTGATATAGGGGTGGTTAATGAAAACTGCCACTTTTCTGTGAATTTCTTATATGAATGACATAGATCAGTCTCAACTAAATAGACATTGTTTGTATTTAAATCCACCATTTAATCCGTAAGTTTATTAAAGACATAAACAATCCTTTATTTTTTTAAAAAAAACGTTGCCCTAGGATTTTTTCATGTGTCGTGGGTTCGTTTACAAACATACAAGTTCACATACACATGACACATAGACCCGGAACAACAATCTGTGGATCACACAAAAAGTTACTCCGTGCGGGAGTCGAACCCGCGACACGTTGCGCGGCAGCCAGTTGCCCAGCCACCGCGCCAACCGTGCAGTCAATTATGAAACAATACTTACGATTTCCTTATTTGTCGAGTTGTTGCAAGACGACAGCTGAGACAGACATCTCAGGTTCTATCCTTAGATGCGACAAAATATATATTTATCAGAATTTTGGGTTTATCGAAAATTTTGGTAATAATACGGAATGAAAACTTCTCAGTCTTTGCCTATAGACTTACTCTATTACATGGGACTCATAACTGAAAAGTAGTTGTTTCGCTGAGATCTCGCCTCCTAAAAATACACAGTGTTCGAACCGGAACAGTAACTACTTGTACATTATACAAATATTAGTTTTGTATATTTGAATTTACGCCTAATCATTTAATCATCGCGCTAACCACACTCTTGGTGTACATATTCCATCAGAAAATAAAGCCAGATATTAATTATCAGTCATTTATTCGTTTTATTTAAGGTAGAACTGTCTTAAACCTATGTTTGATTTACTAATATTATTGACTACTTTGTTCTTAATAATTTAATATGTCTGCCCTACATTTAATACATTCCACGTCCATTTGATCATGTCTGCTGCCTTTTCTCCGATCATCATAGCGGGTGCGTGTGTATGTGCGGATACAGTTCTTGGCAACACACTAGAATCAACTACTCGTAACCTGTTCACACCATGCACGCGTAACTCAGGGTCTACGACAGCTAAGGGATCTCCGACAGGACCCATGCGGCACGTAGCTATTTGATGATGAAGTGTCGCTGTTAATGTACGCAATGCACACTCCCAGTACTCATCAGAATCAAAAATGTGCGTTCGACAATCTGGATAATCCGCTCTGTGTAACTTCGTACCGTAACGCTGGAACGGTGGCGTGTTAGCCAGCGCCTGTATGTGACGGAACGATGCAACGAATGTTGCCACGTCTTTAGGATCAGTCAAATAATTGCCATACATTAGAGGATGACTGAATGGATTACTGTCCTTCAATTCAATACGACCTACAGATTTTGGATGCAGCAACATAGGAAAGGCACTCCATGTGTCCCGATTGAATTTTTCTAATTCATTGAAGGCACTATCAAACACGTCTTCTCTTATTCTCATTCCTTTTCTTACTGCTTTACTTCCTGAGCCACCATCTGAAGTCAAAGACCCTCCAATACTTATAAGTTCTATGTCAGGAACAGGGTCAGGGTCATCTGAAATTGGCGTCTTAATATATCCAATACCCTCCACTCCACCTGGTGAAGAAATTGTGGATTCTCCATGTCGGAGCCATGACACTGCTTCCCGAATATTCAAAGCTCGGGTTTCACTGAGACTTACTCCTGTCGTATTCAACTCAAATATTAATCCTGGGAAACAAATGTGGTCATATAGAGTTTGTCCGACTGGTAAGTCCTTTAATACAGGAATGCCAACTGATCTTAAATGATTCTGTGGGCCAATACCAGACAACATAAGAAGTTGAGGTGAGGCAATGGGTCCTGCCGAAAGAATTACTTCTTTTCGGGCCCTGACTGTAGACTTTATCCTGTTCCTTACGTACTCCACACCGTAAGCCGTGAGTGTTTGCGGGTCAATCAATACTTTTGTTGCTCTGGTCTGAGGTAGTATATGTAAATTACGTCTCTTCTTTTGTTTGTGTAAAAATGCTTTAGCGGCACTGTATCTGTGGCCAAAAGTGGTTGTGGTTTGCACGTATCCGAAACCTAATTCATGTGGCGAATTATAGTCTATAGTAGGATGTCCAAGAATTCTGCCGGCTTCTAGAAAAGTTTTAATTAATTTGGTCCTGAAACGAAAATAGAAAATTACAATTAATATGTCTGGTAATATTTGGTTGCGTAAATAAAAATAATAATCAGTATATTTACTTTTTTGGCACGTGTTCCACAGGGACTTCTCCATCCCGACTCCTAAAGGGACTTTTCTCTAATCCATCTAATGATGCTCTTTCAGACTTCATGTAATAATATAAAACGTCGTTGTATGACCTGAAAAAATATATGCACAATAAAATACAACAAACGCCTTCTGTTTGCAGCATAGCACAACGTAGATAAGTAATTTGATGGTAAGCTGGTAGAAGGCTTTAGACGAATCCAAAATGTATGGACCGTGCAGTTAATAATCTATGTTCAAAAATTCAACGGCACGCGTCTTTAAACAGGGTTAATTGTTTGCAGGCATTTTAAGGACATGCCGATACTTATTGTTGAGGTTAAGATCAAACGTACAATTTTAATTAAAAGGTTTCGTGTTAGCTCATTTACGAGTATGTGCTGCATATAGTGCTCGATAGATTTTAAATAAGTTTCTATTAAACTTTAGTTGAATATATGTAAGTAAATATTATTTTGCTTGTTTGTACTGATATCGGTATTAAATAATTTGAAAACAATCTTTAAGTCTCTTCTTAAGAATTTACCGCAAAAACCTGCAAAGGTTTGGTTATCCACAGCCAAAATGTTACATTCTATTCTAGTCTACGTAAATATTACTCATCCCGTCATTAGTATTTTCTTATGCAAGCATCAAAAGGTCCGTCTGGCATAACATTGTAGTATCTATTAATATTAATGACCTGTTTGTCAGGAGCTGTTAGAAATAGATTAACTCTTATATGGTAATACGCAGCATTCATTATTGCAGCGATTTGTTCTATTTGAAAAATGGTTAACTATAGATAAAATTGCGACATGTGTTCTTAAAGAGACTTCCCGTTGTAACACGTGTTGTTCTGTATTAGGATTGGATTATTGATAAATACCATCCATAATTGCCTGCAGCAGCGATGCGATCCCATTCTATAGGTCTGCCTCGAGTATATATCATGTAGTTAACAACACTCGTCCCGCCGACAGCCTTGCCTCGTGGCCAAAAACAGCGGCCGTTGATCATGCCTGGAATATAAGATTGATGAAAAATATTTGGCATTGTTCGACCTTCTGTTTATATTAGGAGCTTTGTTTTTTGAGCGACACGGAATATTTACTGATTTATTGAGGATTTTTTGCTTGCTAAGTCACACATTGCCTTATTGAAGGATTCATTACAATTCAGGTGTATAAGAGTCAAGTTCAACGTACCGGTACATACGCCTGGTTGATACTCCATGTAATACTGCCACGTGTAATCGGTAGATTGGAAGTATGGTGCCAAGGCTGGTATGTCTGTGAGCAGCATCTCTGGTTTACCAGCTTCCAGTAATAACACTGTGACATTCTTGTCTTCTGTGAGTCTTGAAGCAAGCACCGAACCGGCTGACCCGGCTCCTACTATGACGTAGTCGTATTCGTCGTATGGAGATTTGAGACCTGAAACACAAAGTCGATAAACGTTTACTCAGGTAATCCATAAATAAAGGATTAGTCTGCTAGTAATGGTCCTTAATTACGGTCAAAATTAATAACAGATTTTGATCCAAAATCTCTGGATATACATATCAATCCAGTTTTTGATAGAAACTTTATAGTGCTAATGTCGAAAATCGGTTTTAGTTCGAAGATTTGCTATATCGACTATAGTCGATAATAAGAAATAATAAACCCTGGTCTTATAAGACCAGGGTTTATAACCTTTTTTGTTTATGAGCACAAAGGCTGGTCAAGAAAATTAGACCATGCTCTGGATGTTACGCAAGAGGAACGGAGATTATGTTCCTACACTAGCGTGTATAGTACCTACGTACAAGTTGAATGCTACAAAAAACTTGCAGGTCTTGTTTGCCGCATGTGCCTAAACCGGTTTTTAAAACGATTTATTTCCTGAAACACATTTATATGGCTGTAAGGTTTTACGAGTTCACTTTTTTGGCTTATTTCTATACATACATACTAACGTTATTATGATATTATAGAAGCGTGTAGTGTGTGTAGTGTACCCGATCGAATAACTGGTTACATTTTCTAATATGAATAGATATTTTTTGTGAACTTTATCAATTGAACGTCGATTGTAATGTCGTTGACCTTTCGTTAAATGTAAGTAATGATTATTATTATACTTAGTTCAGTTAGAACGGTACCTACATGCCTTTTTTACTGAGGTTACACTCACTTTTTTATTGCAACAAAGTGGTCCTATTAAGCACTTATTGTGGAGATCGTATGTAAGTAATGGTATTAGGTACCTATTTGTAATCCTTGTAATCTTAATATATATTATATATATTATATATAATATAGATAATATATATATTATATTAGGTAATTACTATATACATAATTGCATGTATAAAGGTACGAATAGACTACGACACTATAAACTGAGTGTATAAATCAAATGTCTCTGTATAAACACGAGTGTCTGTAATTAGAAAATTCAAACGATAATTTAATTTCGCATCAGCCGTCGTCATCGTTACCATTCTTATAAAGGTAAACAGTACAAAAATTAATGTCAGACATCTTATTTCACAATTTGTGTCGAAGTCTAAACATACCTTTAAGTATATGAAAGGGCATAAAATGCTAAACAGAACATCGCATGACACTGTAATGTCTCTAATACAAACAAATACCTAGTTCTGTTATGTCCATGACCTTCAAAATTTTTATTTTTTTAATCAGAGAAAGTTGTTGATATCCTATTAACCGATATATTTTGATCAAACAAGTTTTTTTTATTATTCATCACCTATAAACTCCTTTGAATCGAGGTTTTTAATCTATCGATTTACAAAAATATTTAAAAATGTAATGTAATAAGTAAAGCGATTGACCTTTCTCGATTTGAATTCTATTTAAACAAGATGCGTCGGTCTTAACTGCGCGCGCTCTTACAAAAATTCAATCAATTTCTTTCCTAAATCATTCAATTGTAATGTTTTTCATTCGGTAATGTAAACTAATAATAACTTCCCTGTTATATTTAAAATTAAATATTGTTTTTTTTATCATTTTGTAAACAACGTGTGAGCATATTATGCGTCCTTATAGACTTTGACTTATGGAAATAAAATCTGAATTTTTCTGTTTGTTAATATTGTATATCAGTAATTCATTGAATTCGATATTAGATTCATTTTTGATGAGGATTTGTGGTTCTATTATTTTTTTATATTTACGCAGTGGTATTTTTTTTAATTAATGGAAAAATTATATCTTTTATATATTTTTTTATATGGGCTTTAAAGCATAATTTATTACTGTGCCGCGGCAGTTTCCTGAGTTAATAAATATATTTTTTTAATTTAGAAAATAGAACTGGATCTAGAACCGAAAAGGTCATGCAGATTTTTTTATGAAAACTATAAGGAATTTAAATTAATGATATAAATTGGAATTTTAATAAGTTGTAACATTAATTTGGCCTGATATGACTTGAATATTTTATACTAGCTTTTAAGCCCGCGGCTTCGCTCGCGTCACAAAAGGATAAAAAGTAGACTATGTGACATATACCAATACATACAGCGCCATCTATACCAAAACTTTTGTTTTCCCTCGGGAATATCAAATTTTTTCAGGATAAAAAGTACCTTATTATTTAATCTAGACTACTAACTTTACGTCTGTAAAATTTCAATGTAATCGGTTTAGTAGTTACGGCGTGAAGTCGGAACAAACAAACTTTCCGATTTATAATATTAGTAAGGACTAGCGACCTACAATAGATTTTGCACGTGTATTTGCAAATTTTTTCTTATCTACCTTGGCCTGAATAACATAACAGAACATAAATGAATTATCTGATTTGGTGTAGTAATTTGGAAGTTATACACGTACAAAATAACAGAATATGTTACGGTTCTATATACTAATTTTGATTTATTTCCTTAACAGTGGTAATACAGTACCCTAGACCTTGACGTCAAACTGGCAAAGGATGATAAGCCAAGTAATGGTGTCGCGGAGAACCTAACGGGTAACCGGGGCTCCGGCTCGAAGTGCAGGAGAAGGAACGGTGTGGTTTTTAGTCAGTAAGAGTCTGCACTCCGCCTCATCCAGGCGGTAGCAGTCATTCGATGATTTTCCCCCTTAAAATAAAAGCCAAGTAATGGTGATATTATTTTCGTAGCTCCTAGTCGATCGACTGCCTCGTTGGCTGAGTGGTCGCAAGTGCGACTGCTGGGCAAGGGGTCTCGAGTTCGTACCCACGGGTTGGGCAAAGTACTACTGAGTTTTGAAAAATCTCAGTAATAGAACGGAGTCTGGTATTGTGCCCGGTATGTGGCAATAAGCCCACCCCCTATTACATGGGAATCATAAGATAAATAGTGAAAAGTTGGTGTTACATTAAGTGCTGTAATGTGCATCTCTGCCTACCCCTTCATGTCAAACAAATATTAATTCTGCAATATTTTTGCACTAGGTATAAATGAGAGAATAGGTGATAAAATTATTTTTGTACTATCTGTAAAGGCTTTATTGGTACATTAGGATTGTACATGAACACGTTTAATGTATTTGGGAATATTTGTTTCCAAATGTTCAATGTTTATTGCAAGCGAGTGTATATATACTATAATACTATGTGCTATAGGTGTAAGCTCATATAATATATCATAAATATATTGTAACTAAAGAATTGTTTTGTGAACCTGATCGAAGAAGAGTAACCTATGGAGTTTTTTTTTCGTTCTTCTCCATAGGAATTTACACCATACAATGAGCAAATATCGTCTATTTTAAATTTTTGTTGAGTTTCCAAAGTGCCTTCCTGGTCTAATTGAAATAAATGACTTTGACTTTAATTTGTTAATTAATATTATAGGTATTATTTAACCAACATTAGGTACTTAAGTTCTTAAATAATTTGCTGCGCCCTAACAGGGTATTCTGCCCCAAAATAATAATGTGTAATAGTAACCTTATAATTTGTATGTAACGCCTATTACCGGCTTGATGTTAATTTTTGAGACACTCTGTATAAATAAAATTATGAACTACTTCATCTAGGTATTAATTTTTTGTTCTGTTATAATTCTTAGTTATAATTCTTTGTTCTGTTATAATTCTTAGTTGTAATTCTTTATTCTGTTATAATTTTTAGTTATAATTTCTTTGTTTTGTTAAAAAAAAAGAAAAGAAAAGAAATTTTCAGTTATAATTCTTTGCTCTGTAATTTTGTTTTTAAATTAGAATTTATTAACTAGGTATTTTATTTGCGGCCTGCATGTGAATTTGTTGATTTTATCTGTCTCTACAAGTGACCTTAAAAACACGTCACGACATAAAAGAAGAATCCATTAATTTGGTTGTGATTTCGTAATTATGTACTATCAAACGATACATTTAAGCGGATAATTAAATTCAGCAAGTATTACAATTATTTACGCACGTTTTCAACAACGTCTCTTAATTTTTAAGGAACCCCTAAGCTAAGGTAGGTGATATATAACAGAATTTGGTTTTGACCAACCTGTTACTGACACCTTACAGTAGTACAAGTAAGGGGATAGTTTAAGAGCTCATTCACACTAAGTAACTCGTAGTTTAGAGATTTTTTTTTTAAGGGTGGAAAATCATCGAGTGACTGCTCCCGCCTGGGTGAGGCGGAAGGGAGTGTCAGACTCTTACTGACTAAAAACCACCCCGTTCCTTCTCCTGCACGTCGAGCCGGAGCCCCGGTTACCCGTTAGGTTCTCCGCGACTTAGCGATGGTTTAGGGATGGCTGGTGAAAATGGCCAATAGTGTTTTTTACTTCATCCAAAGTTGCACCCATGGCTTCACCCGCGTGATCTAAACCTTAATCAATTAAAACTTTCCTTATATTTCGCACTTATTGGTTAAAATTGTACAATAAATTGATCCGGGCAATGTAAACAAGAATTGTATAGTGAACCTGGTTGAAAAAGAGTAACTGGAGTAGACGGAGTTTCCTGCTCGTTCTTCTTCAAAGGAATCTACACATTGGAACTAGCAACTAGCTTCTCGAACACGGTGATAAACTTAAAAAAATAATCACATAAAATTCAATAAATTAAAATAAAAACAAAATCAAAATTAAATATAAAAATGATTTTGTTGAAATGGAATTTTACTGAAATGGAACTTGTTTTTATAACATGTAAGTTATAAACTCAAAATGTCAGTACCGAATTATTCGACTGGTTGTTGGTGTAAATAACACTGCACCTCTTCAAGTCCAATGCTTGCGTAGCAATAATTATACTAAACATGTGATTTAAGAATCAATAACAGTAAATTTTAATTAAATGTTTTGTAATTTTTTCATAGATTTCATGTAATTTGACTGGACGGTTGGCGCGGTGGTTGGGCAACTGGCAGCCGCGCAACGTGTCGCGGGCTCGATTCCCGCACGGAAAAACTCTGTGTGTGATCCACAGATTATTGTTCCGGGTCTGGGTGTCATGTGTATGTGAACTTATATGTTTGTAAACGTCCCCACGGGACAGGAGATAATCCTAGTGTGGAGCAAAGTTCTTTTTTTTTTAATCTATTAAACTGTCAAACACCAAGCGGCCACCGGTGACCGCGACCTATTGTTCTTTAATTGTGTCTATAAAACCGGTACTCGACGAGTTAATATGATCAACTTGTATTTATATTTTTTGATTTTTTATTGTTTAGTGTGTAACTAAAGCTCCGTGCAGTAAAAAATTACAACTCGGCTCCGCATTGATTACAATATTCCTTAAGATGTTATAGTTACATTGTTCAATATATGTGTACAAACGAGGTAATATCACTACAAATACGTAGGTCTTAGGTTAATTGACTTTGCATAATTATTAGTCAATTAGGTATGACAGGAAGCCTAAGGACTACCGACAGGTTTTTGTTTAATTTGCCCTTGATTTAAACAAATATGTACTTTTAAGAACTATTGTAAGAAAGGGATTAAAATTTTTATTATTTTTAAACTATTTAAAAACTATTTATTATTTTTAAAATTATGCGATGACAGACTAATATTATAGTGCACATAAATGTAATTTCTGTCATTAAGAAAAATAGCTAAAGTACGCCTTATTACTTACTAATAAATAAAAATAAAACAACTCACCTCCAGGCAAAGGGTACGAATCTCTAAGAAAATCAAAGAAGTCGTTTGGATTTTTCGGTACATAATTAGGTGCAGCTGTTTGCATCATAATATTGATTATTGGGTTCTGCGGATATGAGTATAACAACCTCCCATTTCTGTCCACACGATTTAGGGGGACTTCATCCCCATACAAGTAATTCCTGTACTCCTCATCATTCACGGTCTCCACAAAAGCTTCGTCATAATCACTATGAGCACTTCCAAACAACAAAAAATATGCCAAAAGAAAAAATATTTTTTGTAACATTTTTGCCGCCAATTTATTTGCACATTGCTCGTGCAAAAACAAATGCCAGCTTACTGGTCGAGATGTGGAGAGACTGTGATTGTATCGGCAGTGCGAGACTTGGCTCCGAGTATGGATGTGCGGCGCGTGAAAATATTATAAGTAGCTATGGAGACCGTTAAAGGAGGCGGTGTTTTGTAGCACCACCGGTACTTGTGCAAATTGACACTTGATATATTTTTTATCACATTAGAAAAGTATTATTTTGATCCTTTTATACTTTTTGATTGATACGTCGTTTATCTTCTTCACCGACTTTTCTCAATTAGTCTGCATTTTATTTGGACCTGATTCAGCAGACAGTTTTTGTTTGTTTTGGGATAAGCCGGTAAACGAGCAGGGTAAGCAATCACCACCCATGGACACTTGAACCACCAGAGGCGTTACAAGTACGTTATTCGATTTAATAATAAAATAAGATAAATGATATGATACGGCGATTCGGGGTTTGGGGACACTGGGGAGGGAGGGTAATTGGGCCTGCGGTAACCTCACCCACACGACGAAACACAATACAGCGTCGTTTCACGTCGGTTAGTCGTCGGCCTTAGTATCGCTCCAGTTGAGCCTGCCCATTCGTACCGAAGTATGGCTCTCCCACACTTAAACAGTATTTTAAATGGAGCGACGGATATCCCTGTACAACCCAATAGGGGTGGTACGACCTTATGCTTGGTTAGATCTGCCCTTAGATTTTATAGTCTTTGGTTAGAAGTGAAGACTGTCATATGAGTTCCGTGTAACGAATGGGACTGACGACTTTATGTGCTCTATTGCGCTATTGATACATCGTTTATTTTGTTACAAATATTCCAATACAAACGTTAATGATTCTGCGGAATGTTGGTGGTACTCTTTAACGGCAAAGCATTGCTGAATTTGGTATTTAGATAGACCATGAACAACATTTATCGCGGTTCTACGGTAGAGGATACCTAGGTAAGCTGGGTATTTGGAGATAACATAATTATACGGTATAACACTTGTAACACGACGCTTTAAGAAATTTAGAAGTTTCGTGTTTAAATGTCGGAAGAAAATAGCGCTTGTAGTGTTAAACAATAGTTTGACCAATTGGATGTTTCACCGGTAATGAGCATGTACATTTGAATTAAATTTACTTTGGCAATAGGCTCACCCCCTATTACATGGGACTCTTAACATAATTAGTGAAAAGTAGGTGTTACATTGTGCATTAAGTGCCGTAATGTGCACCTCTGCCTACCCCTTCAGGGATAAAATCCTCGATGTTATGTTACTTTGGTAAATATGTGTAAATTGTTGAACTTGGGTATCTGCACTTTACGTGAAATCGAATATCAAGCTGCGCTGTTGGATTTATAAAACTTGTATATATTTTTTTAATTGCCTTTTGTCAAACTGAGTCCATTGGATCTTATCATATAACTAAGCAATTAATTATAATAATATTATAAAAGCTACTCACAGACAATAGAAGGCCTATAGTTAATTAAATAGTCCCACACTTAAAGCTCACTTAAAGTTCACTGTTAGAATCAAAATATGCAAATGATATTACAACAATAAGTATAGGTACTATGATATTGTTTATTCTATGAATGGGTAAAGAGAGGTTCACATATAATTTATTAGACATTGACCGCCAACAGAAAACCGTTCAAGGCACCAGTGGCGTTGAACATGTTAAATGTGACATGTGTGTTTCTGTGGTCCCCGTCTAGTTTTCCGTAGTCCCATCTAATTTATGAGGGCAAGTCTAGCTCGCCCACACATTTCGCACAAATACGCACTAAAGAGATGATATCGAAAATCTAAAATAATCTGAATTTTTTTAAAAAACCTTTCTTCGGGCTTTGAAGCCCTTATTTAGTCGTGTTTGTCAGGGACTCGGTATGTTTTTTCAAAATCTTAAACATCAAGTTCATTGAACTAATTCAAAAGACCTGCTTTTTGGAGTTTAAGTTCCAAAAAACAAGTTTCTTTTTTATTTATTTTTTTGAGCACGACAAGTCGTGATTCTTCTCCTGTTTTACGAATAATGCCCCGAGATAATGATTTTAAAGCCGTTATTTTTAAGGACCTGTTTTTATCTGCACAAACGAAACTAAAGAAAAAAGAAATTATCAATGTTCTGGAAACATAAAGTCTAAATGCTTAACATACTTAGATTTGATCATGTTGTTCTAGTTGTGTATTTGTGAAAGTGTCACGTAGGTCAGTTGAGAAAACATTTTTCTAGAAAGACCCAAAGTGAAAATAGTCGCCCAAGTAGTGGTATGAGAATGTTTCTTAGCTAAGAGTTTTAACAAATTTAATGAGAATGAGGTTGTTAATCAAATACCTGTCCAGCAATTGCTTGGCCTACTTACGGATTTATTGGTAAAATTATAGTGGTACCTACCTGATTAGTCATTAATTCAAAACTTTCTTTTTCTAGAAACATTTTCTACTTATAACATCGTATTGTAAATAAGTAACACTTCAGAAAAAAGTTTTAAAATATTTTATTAAGAGATATTTTAGTGACAATTATTAATACTGTTTATTTGGTAATAATACTAATAATCTATCCACCCCAAGTGACCTTAATCATATCTGCGGCCTTTTCCCCAATCATAACAGCTGGGGCGTGCGTGTGCGCTGAAATAGTTCGAGGTATAACACTGGAGTCTACCACACGAAGCCGGTTTACCCCGTGAACTCGCAACTCTGGATCCACAACAGCTAGCGGGTCAAAATCTGGCCCCATCCGACATGTTGCAATTTGATGATGAAGTGTGATTGTGAGAATTCGCAGCGCACACTCCCAGTACTCATCTGAGTCATAAGCCATTTCTCGGCACGCTGAGAACTCGGCTCTATGTAACCTCGCACCAAATCGTTGGAATGGTAGAGTTGAAGCCAAAGCCTGGATATATCGTATCGAAGCAATTATTGTTACTATATCCTGAGGATGTGCTAAATAATTGCCATAAATACGAGGGTGACTAAATGGATTTTTGTCTTTCAATTCTAGATAACCTACAGATTTTGGATGAAGCAACATTGGAAACACGTTCCATGTTTCCGTATTGTCTATTGCACCAAACGCTTTGTCAAATATTTCTGGAGAAATCATCATTCCTCGTCGTGCTGCTTTGCTTCCCTTAGGTCCTCCATCTGCTACTATTGAACCGCCGAGACTTATTAATTCGATATCCGGTATTCTATCTTGTCCATCAGCAATTATTTTAATATATCCGAGCCCTTCTACCCCACCTGGACTCGCGACTATATTGTCACCGAACTGCATCCATTCCAGAAAATTCGCGATTGAACCATCTTTATTTTCGTTGAAAGCTACATTAGTGGTATTTAAGGTGAATACTAATCCCGGATAACTTATATGATCATATAGCGTTTGACCGACTAGTAAGTTTTTGATAACAGGTATTCCGTGGCTTCTAAGATGCTCTTCTGGTCCTATTCCTGATAGCATTAGTAAGTGTGGCGAAGCTATTGGTCCAGCTGATACAATAACTTCTCGTCGTGCTGTTACTTTATTTTTCAATCGATGTCTAACGTATTCGACTCCATACGCGGTTCGAGTAAGTTCATCTATTAGGACTTTAGTCACTGTAGTTGAGTGTAGTATGTGTAAGTTCTTTCGTTTTTTGTTTGGTCGTAGAAATAGTTTGGCAGCACTTTGTCTTCTACCAGCTTTGATATTTGTTTGCACGTATCCAAAGCCTAGTTGTTCTGGGGAGTTATAGTCTATTGTAGGGGATCCTAATATTCGTCCTGCTTCCAAGAACGCTTCTATTAGTGGAGATCTGAAAATCGTTAAGGCATTGTTATAAAATAATGTCCTAAATTGACTACATTTTTCAACTTACATTGTAATTCGTATTCGGTAGGTACGTGTAATTTATTTTTAGTTGTGATTACTGATTATGCATCTTCACATGCATATTAAATGTTTATAACGTTAGTAAAACATGATGTACATAATTTATGATGCTATTTTATATAATTATATAGGTATTAAGTAGTATTATCATGAAGATCACGTACCTAAGGTTTGGGAATTCGATGTTCATTTCACCGGTTTTCCCGCGATATGGCGCGTTTTCATAACCCTTTAAACGAGCGTCTTCTGTTTTCATGAAGTATTTCAGTACTTCTTCATAGGACCTAAAAGTAAATATGGGTAAATTAATTTATTTTTTAATAGTTACATATAAAGGTACCCAAAATTTAACTAAAATATTAACTAAAATTGATATACGAAATATGTCAATTTGTAAATGGACATAATGTCCGACCGACTACATCAAAAATAGTAGTTTCTGTTGAAACTAAAAATGTCTAGTTTTGCACTTATAGAATATTCAGTTATTTCTCAAGCCATTCCATTCATTACCTTAGCCTTGGTTTAAATGTCGTGTAAAAAAATAAAATATTAAATCTTGCTAAATTCTACTGACTGTTTATAATTTAAAAATATATTATGCTACAAACAAATATAGAGGTAATTCAGGCACACCTTGCTTTGACAAAGTTTTATAATAATATAATATTTTTTTTTCCCATTATCCACAATAGTTCTACACTAACCGGGGACTGTCCTTGGGTGCATTTCCATAGTGCATACAGGGATAGTCGCCGGTTTGTGTGTCCATTACATTTAGATTAAAGTTGTCTAAAGGGCCTCTGCGCAGTTGGCTTCGGGCCCTCGTTAGCCTCCCAAATGACCGGGACCCTGTGGTCCCGTGAATTGTAGAGACATACATAATAATAATAATAACAGTATTTACAGATGTTTTTCGTTCTAGGCCTAGATAAAGGAAACATTCCTTCTATTGAAAACTAGTTTTATGCCTATCAAGCAAGTTATTGATCTCAGTCACATTTTATTGAGGTGTGATTTAAAAACTGCGGTGCTCTACAAAATTTATGAATATTTATTTGATGTGATGCGTCTTGGAATTGGAGCTGCTTTATGGTGTGGTGAAAAAGTAACTGTCCGTAATGAACTGTGAATTGAATCAAGATGCGAAGTCTTTGATGACAGATAGTTTGGACTAAGTATTATGAAAATATTTGTGAGTGTGAGTGTATTGCAAGCCTTATTGCTTAAACTATGCGACGAAAAGGGGATGTTATTAATTTATTTATTTATCTCAATACAATAAGTGTGTACAGGTGAACTTAATGCCTTGGGCATTGTCTCCCAGTCAACCCAAGTGGTGCAGAGATGAAAGAAGCAGGTGATGAATTAACCTTGTTATATTGTACTAGCTACTTTCACACGCTCTGCTCAGCTCCTATTGGTCGTAGCGTGATGTTTTATAGCCTATAGCTATCCGCGATAAATGCACTATCCAACACAAAAAGAATTATTCAAATCAGACTTGTAGTTACGGAGATTAGCGCGTTCAAACAAACAAACAAACAAACAAACTCTTCCGCTTTATATAATAGTATAAGATAAGATAAGTGTAAACTTCTGTTGCACGTTTAGATGATCATTACCATCCATAGTTTCCAGCACTCGCCATGCTGTCCCATTCTTCAGGCCGGCCTCTGGTGTAGATCATGTAGTTGATGACGCTGGTGCCTCCTACAGCTCGCCCTCTTGGCCAATAGCATTTTTTGTTTATTAGACCTGTAGCAGGACAAACAAAGTTAGAAGTTTTTATTCATGTTTTGTATTATTTGCACTCTTGAGTTAAGAACTTTAAGATTGTTTACGTATCTACTTGAAGTGATCAGATTTTAACCATTACGATTTACGAATGCTACTTCACAAAACTTACCTTGTTTGCGTTAAGCAAACTTAAATATATAAAGATTTTTAAATCTGACGTGTCTTAGCATTGTTCTCACATATGCGTACAGTATTGGAATATGTATCACACACATTGTAGAACATACTTTTTTAAAAAAGAGTAACGAGTGGAATTTCTTGCTCGTTCTTCTCCATTCGAATTTACATTTTGGAATGAGCACCTAGCTACACCTAGCTTCACTGACGGACTTACTGACTGACTATTATTTTGTATTTGTTGACAAAAGTATCAAATTATGGTTTATTTGAAATAAATGCTTTTTCATTGTTCGCCTTATTTTTATATCTCACTTACCTAAGCAGATGCCAGGCTGCGGTTCCATAAAGTATGGCCAAGCGTACTCCGTGAGCTGAAAGAAGGGCGCTAAAGACGGTACATCAGTGAAGTAGTTCTCTGGTCTCCCAGCTTCTATAACGAGGACGCTGACGTTAGGGTCCTCAGTGAGACGGGCTGCGAGCACACAGCCAGCAGAACCAGCTCCAACTATGATGTAGTCGTACTCTGATAATGGCGACTTTAGACCTGGAATCATCGTGTTCTTTTCTGTTATTATTCTTCTTTTCGATTAACACTAGAAAATCCAGTTCCAATTTTGTCCCATTTGCAAGTTTGATAGTTCATATCTTTTTATTTTTAAAGTTAGGTGCGTGGATCTTTTTGACTTTTATTCATTGTATTTTAATAATTATTGTTGTTTTCAGTTGGAATAAATTAATATTAAAAAAATAAAATACTGATTTACCTAGAACTGCCGCTGGGTCATTTCGATTCTCGGCCTTTCTAGTGTTAACAGAATAACTATTAACACTAGCAGTACAGGCCAGCACGTACGAAGGACGAAAAATTGTGTTTAAAGCAATTTAAAAAAATTAAGGCAATTGAGGCCAGAATTAAGGTGAAATGATTTGAATTGTTGAAAATCTTTGCTTTTGAGAGATATTTACTTAGTGGTATGTGGATTACTGATAGAAAAAGTAATCGTTACTTGAAAATAATTTCAAGTATTAATACGACTCAAATGAAGATAATAAATTAAAATAAGATAAAAATTCTCAATACTTACCATTAGGTAGTGGATATTTATCCCTTAGTATATCAAACAGGTCTCCAGAATTTTTAGGTGTATAATTAGGAGCTGCGGATTGCATCAGTAAATTGATTATAGGGATCTGCATGAGCGATACATCATTTTGACAGATTATCCGATTCTGGTTGATGATGACAGAAAATATTAAAATGGCCTGTATTAATCGGGGTAACATTGCTTTGGTAATAATTTCTGAAATAAAAAAGTGTAGTGTGAATGCGCATCGATGGTATTTTGTGATTCCTGGAAAACTAGGACCTTGAGTGTGTATAAATTACTACTTTCTACCAGCGGTTTCTCCCGCATGTAGAAGGTGGACTAAAAAGGCCTACTAGAGCCTTGAGTGTGTATAAGTATAAATTACTATGTGCTTCGCCCGTGATTCCATGGAATAATAAGCATATGTGTTATTCCAGACTATACTCTCTATCTACTCCCGTTCCAAATTTCACTCCAATCCATTTAACCGTTTTGATCGAGTGACAAACATACACACAAACTCAGAACTGTCGCATTTATGACATTATTGAGATAATTTGAGTGATTTCAATTTAACTTATATTGGTACAGACTTCATTCGCATATAATTGTTAATTATAAAACTGTTGCTGGCCAAATAAATGTCAGGCTCGACAAATATGCTACGTTCTTTGACAGTTTCCTTTGCAACAAGTAGGTACAGGTTGTAAAACTATATCAAGCTTTTGTTTTAAGACACACAATTATAATTAGAAGATTTGTTCGACGCAGTTTTACACAAACTACAGTCAAGAAAAACTATAAGTACGATTTGATTAAATGGAATGTGGTATGCAACAAAAAGCCAGTTACTATGATTTCCACGATTAGTAACGGAGAATAGAAACATGCCAACACAATAATAAAATTACTTATTAAACTACAGGCAACCTAAAATGATGCACAAATTACTCCAAACATTAAGGACCGTATAGGTACCCACTATGAATTAAAGAAATTAAGGTTCAGCTGCCTGTGCGCCACAATGAGCTTTGTGTTAAGCCTTTAACTGCCAACAAAAACTATTAAAGGTTAATCCTCCGCTAGCGTCCGACATCATTGTCCGACACGGCATCCAATGGGTCGACAGAAAAATCTTTACAAATTTTATTAAAAATCATTATACATAGTTCTGTTATTACGATAGCTAATAATCAGCGCGCGACTAGAAACAGTCGCATGTGGACTGTGGTGCCGTAATCAAAATTATTATTATTATAATGCCAAAAGTACAGTTTAAATGAATATATCTCATCGTAAAAAGTATTTTTTATCAGAAGTCTCATTACTGGTTTTGTTTTTCTGGCCAGGTACATACAATAAAGGTTCATTACACTCGGAAAACCAAGTCATTCAGTTGTAAGTACATTCATGTAGCGGTTTAGTATTATTATTTATTTTAATGTACTCACATAACATCATGATTGATAAAGCAGATATCTTCTTCTTATTCTGAAAGTCTGAATATCGGAATAGAGTTTCACATAGACTAACTACTACCCAACTATTTACCCCCTCTGCTAGGCTCCTATTAATAGTAGCGTGATGTTTTATAGCCTATAGCCGTCATCTATAAATACACTACCTATACATCAAAAAAATAATAATTATTCAAATCGGACCAGTAATTCCGGAGATTCGTTTAAATAAATAACCAAACAAAAAAACTCTTCATCTTTATAATTATAAGACAGGTATTATAATGTCAGATATAAGATTTATTATTCTTGATTCCAGAAGCTACGACAAATGTCCTACTTCCCAAGGAAAACTAACAAAAAACATCCTGTGTTTCTCTGTCGGTTTAAACCTATGCTAATTCACATATGCTAGTCGAGTAAGTTACACTGACATAGCTTTGACATAATTTGTCTTATGTCAATGTCAATTCTCTACATTAACTTGTTTTCCATTGTACTATATTCGATTTGCGCTTAAGCTATTATTGATAGTGAGATCACCTTTGGCAATGCCTCGGCCGACGAATCCACTATGGATTTGTGCTTTGTATCATCTATATGTTTTTTAAAGCTGGCTTACTTTCCTGACCTTGCATATTACTCCCCATAGTAATAAATTAATAGGTTTTAGTGGATGCACGGGCCTGCGGATGGCGAGCACGGGTGACTCGCCGCCCGACCAAAACCAGGCCCGCGCGTACGGCGCCTCGCGTTCCGCGCGCGCCTCAAGAGGCAATCAGACCACCACAGATGGGGCCCAACAGGGCTGATGCCGATACGGAGCCGCGGAAGACTTAACGGGTTGCCGGGGCTCCCGCTCAAAGTGCAGGAGTAGGAACGGGGTAGTATTTAGTCAGTAAGAGTCTGACACTCCCTCTCGCCTTACCCGGGCGGGCGAAGTCATTGGATGATTTTCCCCCTCAAAAAAAAGGTTTTAGTGGATTCTTATTGTAGATACAATTACTTAATTTTACTTATCTCATTGTTAGTTATAATTATTTATATGCAGATATTTGTTAGACGAAAACCTTTTATATAAATTATAATTTAGTTTTACGCAGTTGGTCTTCTAGAAACGCAATTTTTTACATTAATTATTTTGTGTTATGAGAACTTAGGACTTTGATTCCTGGTCGTGCGATATAATTAAATTATAATTAACGTTGCCACTGAAGGTCGTGTTCCGTACGTACTTTGTAAAATCATAATATGTAATTACTATATTATTGGAGTAGGTGCACTGCAGTGAGAGGTGTATAAAATACGTGCTAAAATTCGACGGTCACAATATCAGTCTAGCGTACTGGTTACATTTTTGTCTAGCGTACTGGTGGTCTAGGTTACATTTTTAATTACTATTACTAGCTGTTTAAACAGGAGTCGCGAATAACTTAATGGCTTGCTGGGGCTCCGTTTCGAAGTGCAGGAAAAGGAACGGGGTGGTATTTAGTCAGTAATAGTCTGTCACTCACTAAGCCCCGCCCCTTACAAAAAATATAATGCTGTTTATACAGACAAACTTAAGGTTAGAACTTATATCAAAGAACCTAGTTATAAGCTTCCTAATTTATGTATTTGTTATAATAAGGGTGTCTGTCCTATGAGATAAATATCATATATATCTGTCATATGTGAATATAAATAATTCTTTAATAAACTACGTTTCAAAAAACCGACTTGAACCCTCTCTTTTTGAAGTCGGTTAACGAATAAAATCAGAATATATAAGTATAACAAACTATTTTCTGAAAACCGCATCAAAATCGGTTCAGCCAATTGCGAGCTTCCAATGCCAATTGTATTTTTTTTAAAAACCCAGTAATACTTTGTCTGATCCAGCAGTCACTTGCGACCACTAGGCCAACGAGGCAGTCAAATGATTATTACTTTACTATAATACTGGTTTTCTAGATAAAAAGTGAACTTAACCTTGGACACAGTGCTTTAATACATAACTAACTTATTATGTGCATTAAAATCATATGACTAAATAAAATGTCACTCTCTTTTTTAAAGTGATTTTGTATTGATAAATAAAATAATCACTACATAGTATAAAACAAAGTCGCTATCCGCCGTCTGCCTGTTCCTATGTATGCTCAGATCTTTAAAACTACGCAACGGATTTTATTCCATTTTTTTAAATAGATAGGGTGATTCTTAAGGAAGGTTTATTATGTATAATACATGCATATTCCACCCGTGCGAAGCCGGGGCGGGTCGCTTGTAAATAATAACAGTAAGAAAATAACACTCGGGTTTACACATGTGTATGTATTCAGAGTATGCGATAAGTATCTACATTGGTTTTTAAATTATTTGATTGTGGTACATAATTCATACATTGCTTACTGGATTTCAGTGACATCCTAATGTTAGTTTAGTTTTTTTTGATATTTTTTTAAGGGTGGTAAATCATCGAATGTTATCTCCCGCCTGGGCGAGGCGGAAGGGAGTGTCAGACTCTTACTGACTAAAAACTACCCCGTTCCTTCTCCTGCACTTCGAGCCGGAGCCCTGGTAACCCATTAGCTTCTCCGCGACTCCGATTCGGCAGTTTTTAGGATTTGAGTAATGTTTATTTAAATTTGTACACATTCCAGGATAGTTTAGTAGTTCAGTTAGGTATAAATGAATGGTTACATAAAATGCGACTTTGATGGTATTTGCAATAAGATTTACTAAGTTTTGTTGCATGAAAATTTTAGCAGGAACATTAAGTTAAAGTATACCTACACAAGTGTCGTGGTGGCCCGGAGGTTTAAGACGCCCACTTCTCATACATGAGGGTGCGGGTTCGAAACCTACCAACGGCAAGTACCAATGTGACTTTTTCCGAGTTATATGTACTTTCTAAGATTATTTAGACACCACTGACAAACGGTGAAGGAAAAACATCGTGAGGAAACCTGGACTTATAATTTCTAATTATAAGTTTGAAATCGCCAACCCGCATTGAGCAAGCGTGGTGATTAATGCTCTAACCTTCTCCGTGTGAGAAGAGGCTTTGCTCAGCAGTGGGCATTTAGAGGCTGTTGATGATGATACCTACACAAATTAAATATTTTGTTTAAATCTGCAAATTGTCTTGAATGTTCTATATTGAATGAAATATTATTTATGTAGGTACTTACATAGTCATGGATATCCGAATTACCACTTATATTTAAGTACGTATTAGTTGATATATTGTTCGTGTACCGATATGGTCTGTTTGTCTGTACGTAACGAGATCGACTGTTGATCTAATGCCTTAGTATGGAGCAGTAACTGCGGAATGCCACTATTCGGTCGACATAGATACTGCATGTGGATTATTACCAAATTTTATTATTAGGTAGACATTACCGATCACGGGATCACAGGGTCCCGTCATTTGTGAGGCGTAGGTACGAGGGCCCGAAAACCAACTACGCAGAGGCCCTTTAGACAACTTTAGCTAGACGTATTGTTATTGTGTTTATTTTAATGCCAGATTTATAAGTTTTTTGAATTGCATACCTACATAGGTACCTACATACAAATCGATAGAATAGTTAGAATTGAGTCTCATGATTTTCCTGAAATTAAGCTTCCAAAAGCTATAATAATCTTACCACATACCTAGTATGTAAACGTTTGATGGATGTGTGTGTAGATAGAAATCTTTTAGCTAATTGTGTTGCATAGAAACTGCAGTAGGTATAGACAAAGACTCTCCCGCTCTGGGTGAGGCGCGAGGGAGTATCAGAATCTTACTGAATAGAAATCCTGTTGTAACTTCTACTCTGCTGCTGAATATATGACATTGTTGACATGACTGAGTAGATACTCATGAGTATCTATCAATATTAGACTTGCTATGAGATTTTTTGTACAGTAGCACAGAACAAATAGAAAGTGTAATAAATTATAACCTTGAGATGTAGAGATCTTTGTATGTTTGTACGTAATGTTTTGTGTGTTGCAATAAGAAACCTCATACTTTGTGATTATAATCCGATTGTTTGACATTGTGCTGAGTTATTGGAGCAATAAGTACGTCATAATAATAGATAGTGGTTGCTAGAATAACTCGCTCGATGATCAGTTTAGACGCCAAGGGCTGTTGTTGTTGGAAAAAGAGCCAACAACAATAGCTCTTGGCAATCTTTTTATTTTTAAGACGGACAATCATTCAATGGCGTCTCCCGCCTTGGGTCGCTTCACCCAGGGAGGGAGTGTCAGACTCTTACTTACAAAAACTACCCCGTTCCTATTTCTGCTCTTCGAGCCGGAGAACCGGCAACCCGTTAATTTCTCCGCGGCTCCGTTTAGCGCTTGACAATCTACTGCACATCCTGTACATTAGAGATATTGTCATCCATCTATCTCAATCTCCATGCTTGGCAGGTGATCTTCTTAGTTTAAAGTATGAGAGTTTATCAGAGAGAGCTGTCTGGTCTCTCTCATGGTGGATGACTAATTTTTATTTTAATGTCCGTCTGGTAGATTATTTAAAAACATTAGACATATACTTTTTATTTTCTAACAGTAAACAATAGTTTCGTAGATATATTGATTTGAAATATCGCATGACGTCACTTTTGTGTACGATTTATACTCTAAAATGACGTAGCTACCTCCCACTGCTAAACTTTGAATCGTTTTATCTTAGTATTGTTTTCTTATACGACTAAATAAAAAATACGTGTCTAACATTTTTTCTTTACCTAACTAATGGACTAATTAAATTTTTAATTTTCATACCCTGCATCATCATTATTGTAATCACTTTAGTTACCCAACCGTGTAAAGAAAAGCTGAAAATCTTAATTAATTTTGCGCCTCTTTTTCATAAATTATTATGTTTTCGGCTTACTCACGTAACAATTCGATGAGGAACTCGACTAGTTTCAAGCCATGGTAGAGGCTCATATTCATCATAGAGGCTCTTTTTCATAATACATCTTCTTGTAATTATGAATTAAACAGTAGTCATTATGGATTTACTAATGATAATTTTCTTTTTGTTTCAGGTATTTTCATTTGGACATTTCTGCAGGGTGGGCAGCATGAGTAAATATGTAAACAAACCCTTGGAAATCAAAACTAATTTTCTCTTTACCAATTTAACGTTTTTGAAATAAATCAAACTGATCGGATTACGATGATAAGTTTGTTTTATCGATTTCTGTAAATTGTTCTATTGTCGAGCCTTCAATTTTACTTTAATGTTGACCTACTCAACAAAAATACGTGGAAGTAGGCAGTGGTTCAAAAACAAATAAGTATTGGACTGTTCTTGTAGCAAAGTAAGCAACTTGTGTCGAAGAAAACCAGGCTTTATGATAAGTAAATAAACCAGGCGTTATGATAAACCAAGCTGTATGTACTAGTCAAATTTTTAATGAATATTCTACTTTATCGTACTTTAAATAAAGTTCAAAATGTATTAAAGTGATATGATAATTATCTGTATCATTAAAACAAAGTTGTTAGTTTTCGATAGTATAAATTAATGTGCTACCATGTGGAAATACTAGTAGAAGGACAGATAATGAATGAAGTAGAATGATTAATGGACATTTTTATATTAATTCAATTGTTTGTTTTATTGATTACTAGCGGCCCGTCCCGGCTTCGCACGGGGGGACTTAAGATTTTTTACATAGTTTTACGTTTTATTTATATTTATTCTCAGTTTTTTTTTTAGCGACCTGCCCTCCGTTGTCGATGTCGCGTCTTAAGGTAACCGATTGAACAATTCAAAAGTTATCTAGAGCAAACTTTTATAAGGATTGAACCATTCATTAAAACGATTGTTATGGGTAAACTATAAAAGGTAGACATATGCTCTCGCGGACTTTTTAAAAAAAAACAATTCATCTATAGAACATTTTTGTATAACTTTAACTATATGCTCAGCGCACGCCACGGAAGGCCTCAGAAACAATACTTTTCCCCCGTTTTTAAAACATTTTTGGTTACTGCTCCACAACTATAGGACCTAGCGTGATATTATATAGCCTATGTTACTTCTGAATAATGCAGCTTTCGAATGGTGAAAAAATTATTGCAATCGGTTCAGTAGTTTTTGAGTTTATTCATTACAAACATACAAAAATACAAAAATACAAATCTTTCCTCTTTATAATATTAGTATAGATAAGGTCACTCAGAGAGATCGACCGCATTACTCACGATAGTTTTGTTGAGTATTTTTTTTTCCTTTTTACTACCTCTAGTATACCTACTTGACATTGAAAAAATACGAGGGTGTGTCAAGCGTACGGTTTAATGGGTGCATGCTTTATTTTCTAATGGAATTAATTATGTGTATTAAAAATATGTTTCGGCACTTCTTCGAAGAAATTATAACTGTTAAGTTTCCTGTGGTTTAATGCTTTTACTAGATACTGCTTTATTAACAAATGCATTTATAAGCAGGTTTAGGTTTGGGAATGTTATAAGAGTGTTTGTAGAATACGTCTAACATTTTATTACGTTCCTATAGCCACCCAGGCGGGAGCAGTCAATCGCCCCTGAAAATAAAAAAAATAGCCAAATAAAATTAATTTTAATTAATAAATTTAATAAAACCAGTCTCTTGAATAGGCCTGAAATTGTTTATCATATTGTTTGTATCATTCCATAATAGTGGAATGTTGTTATATTATTATCTTTATTTACACTCTAAGTTTTAACCACGATAACATGCGTAAACAAATATTGTAGCAAAAGGTAGTACGGTTGTTTCATTGCTAAAATGAAATATATAGGCGTCGGAATGTATACTGCATTCTATTGTTTAATGATTAAATAATAACTGTATTCTTAATCTGCCTCATTGGCCGAATGGTCGCAAGTGCGACTGCCGGGCAAGGGGTCTCGGGTTCTATTCCCGGGTCAGGCAAAGTATTACGGGGTTTAAAAATAGTAGTAACACGGAGTCTGGAATTGTGCCCGGTATATGGCAATAGGCTCACCCCATTACATGGGACTCATAATATAAATAGTGAAAAGTGAGTGTTATATTGTACAGTGGCATAATGTACACCTCTGCCTACCCCTTCGGGGATAAAAGGCGTGATATTATGTTATGTATGTTATTCCTAATCTTGATATTATCTTACACGGAAATTGAATATATCGATTCACTGTCTCATCATATCACCTTTTAAACGTCACCTGATAAATGTACCTACTTATTTAAAAAATGTGAAAATTAATTCCCTTTTTAGACATTTTATGGATTTCAAGAACTTAAACATGTTTGAGGTTAAAGGTTCAATTTATGATTCCGTGCAGCAACAATTTCGCTGTCGGAATATTGCTACTATATTCAGACAGGCGTTATAGAGAACAGTCAATCTCTTTCTTTTCATAAACGGGGTTTTCTTGCTTTTAAACCAATCAAAATTAAGTATAAATTATTAAAATATATTTTATTAAATTATTAAATGAAAATAATACACTAAAAGTCTTCAAGTGTCCAAAATATCACAGATTTCAATTATCAGCCAATGCTGTACCTACACGTCTCACTACACAGTACACACGTTAATGGAAATTGTTATAATTTGCCCCAGTCTTCCTTGATCATGTCAGCTCCTTTCTCAGCGATCATATAAACCGGTGCATTCGTATGACTGGACACTATCTCAGGCATAACACTCGCGTCTATTACCCTGAGACCCTCAATACCATGCACTTTTAATCTTGGACTCACCACAGCTGACGGGTCATCCTCTACTCCCATTTTGCAAGTTCCACTCTGATGGTATATAGTGAAGGTAAACATCTGTGCTTGACAGGCGAAGTAAGCATCACTCCCAAACGGCCCATATTTCAAACAATCCTGAATGGGGACATCATACACTTGAGCGCCAATTTTTCTCATAGCCGGCTGTTTTGATATTTCCACTGCCACTTTTATACCTTCTACAATTTTCTCCAAATCTTCGGCGTATTCAAAGTAATTTGGAATCAATGCGGGATAATCTTTAGGATTCTTACTTCGAAGCATTATTCGTCCCTTTGATTTAGGACGCAATAGCATAGGGAAAATCATAAATGTATCTGAATCACCTAGAGGTCCGTATGTTTTAGAAAATATTTGTTCATCAAAACCAAAATTCTTTCGTAATAGCGGATCTGAATTCAATCCACCAGCAATGAAGAGTAGCTCCATGTCTGGCCAGGCTTTAGAATTGAACTTATCATTTAAATTCATGAAGATAAGACTCTCGCATCCTCCAGGGATAGATACGGGGCCTTTATGTGATGACATCCACTCGAGCACTAAGTCTATATTGTTAAATATCGATGCAGATGAAAAACTTGAATTTTGTTTATCCACTGTAAACTGTACGCCACCTGCAGCAATATGATCCATTAAATTGTATCCGACAGGCAAATCTTTCACAACATTTATCTTCATTGTCTCCAAATGACTTCTCGGTCCGATACCGGATAACATCAGTAATTGCGGTGAGTTAATAGTTCCAGCTGATAATAACACTTCTTTCCTTGCAAGTATTTTATATTTCCTATCGTGTTTTTGTAATTTCACTCCGATCACTTTGGTTCTAGTTTCATCAAATATAAGCTTAGTAACTAAACTGTCTTTAGAGACGTGTAGATTACTCCTTCCGTTTATTGGATGTAGGTAAGCTCTGCTGGAACTATGACGAGTCCCATTTTTCATTGATAACTGAAGAAAGGACACTCCAGAAGGTTCAGCTCCGTTATGATCTCCGTATTTAAATCCCATTTCTTGTGCTGCTTTGACCCACGCTTTGCCTTTGCTTGTGCGGAAGGGAGCATATTCAATATTGACATAGCCATCATGTCCATGATATTCTGAGTTGTCGAAGGATGGTATATTGTAGTTTTCTATTTTCTTGAAGTATGGTAGTACATCGTCCCATCCCCAACCTTCATTGCCCATGGCTTCCCACTTGTTGTAATCTCGTCTGGTGCCCCTAGTGTATATCATGTAATTTAGTACACTTGAACCTCCCATCACTTTACCACGAGGCCAGTTACACTGTTGATTCTCGAAACCCGCACAATATTTGTTTGATGGCATAGTCTTATAACCCCAGTTGGCAGACGTAAACTGCAGATATCCTGCTAGAATAGGCACGTCCATAACGTAGTTTTCGTTCTTCCCAGCTTCGATCAGCAATACTTTCCAGTCATGGACTTCTGTTAGCCTGTTTGCTAGCACGCAACCTGCTGAGCCGGCGCCAACAATTATGATGTCATAAACAGGCAATAAGTTGGTTTCGTCAGGCGGTTCATTTTCAAACTGTTCTGTTTCGTCTTGCATAAAATTCATGATAGATGATAATGGGCTCGTGTATTTGGTGTGGATTGGCAGGAGAAATATGAGCAACATACAAGATATTGAAAAAAACCGGTGCTCTATAGTAACGGTGCATCTGAAATGATAAAAAATCTAATAAATTGTGTGCTTTAAAAAATACCACATGGATAGTGAATTGTGCCTACTCATTGCGTGAATACAATGACAAATATTTCTTGTTTTTTGCAATGTTATTGGTTTTTATCAATAGGTAATATTTTGAAAGACTAGTTTTTAAAGTAATCCTTGACGCACTAAACATGCGGAAACATTAATAATAATTATCGTTGTGATCGAGTATACATAATTTTGATAATTGTGTGATTATAAGCGAAAATTATAAATACCTTGCCATTTGTAGAGATCTCCAGATACGTTTTCTAAACCAGAATAATTATCACTCTGTTACCGGAATTTTTCTGTAAAATCAATTCACTTAATACAATTTTTGTATCTACGGGCCACATAAACCTCTTCATCACAGTAACCAAATGGCAACTAAATAGATTCGATGGCAGCCCTTACTCAATTGTTTAAATTAGTTAAGAATTAAGTGACGTTAGTAATGTTCATTCATAAGTAAATCTACAATTAAAAAGTCATTTGTGTTAAAAAATTGTCTATTGCACGTGAATTTCCTGATTGGACGCTTGCATTATGATGGAATGTCACAAATGTTTAGCGTTTCTCATAATATTACGTAATATTTTTAATTTTATTTATGATCGCAATAGGGTGATTTCCTAAATTTTATTTTAAAGTCCGTCTGGTAGATTATTTTAAAACATTAGACACGGAATTTTTCTTTTCTGACAAAATTAAATGCTTTTGACGATAAATTGATTTGAAATGTCGTGTGACGTCACAGCGTGCTACAAAATGTACCACGTTGTGGCGTAACTACCTCCCACTCCTAAACTTAACGCCATTTTATTTAAGTGTTGTAACTTTGTATGATAAAATAAAAAAAATACGTGTCTAATATTTTTTCATTATCTAACTGACGGACTAATTACATTTTTAATTTTCTTACCCTGGAAACTACCCTATTGTTTGTAACATAGGTACTTAAGGCTTAGTAATCCTAAAAAAAGTATGGGAATTTTCGATTTAATATGCTTTATAATCATTAATTACTTAATTAATAAGATGATTACCTAAATACCTAACCACGAATTTAAGAGTTGTGTAAGATAATAATATTATTATTTATGTTATATAAGTTATGTGATATATTATTCCTATAATTTTTAATTATGTTCTTTAGCACCGACTCGGACATTGCCCGCAGAATAGCAACAGGCTCACCATATTTAGGTACTTACACTGTACACAGAACAATTACTCCAATTTTATTGTCAATGCACAAAAATACGAACAGTTAAGTCTATTTCGTTTTCGTCTCAAAGTAAAATGGTTCTGTCTCGGTAATACTATAGTTTTACAACGAAATAAAATGTTTAAAACAGACAATAACCGGTGAACTATTGCTAAAAACTAACTTCGAAAGCACATACGAAGTTACGAACACAGTATGTACATTATCAAAACATCACGCTATGTAATTCTCGAAGAGGTATTTCTTGTCGAGTGCTATGTATGGTGTGAATAGTACGTACAAATTTACGTCTAGTGTTTCATGTGCGTATATCCAAGAAATGTTTTTTAAGGTAAAAAATACTTTGTTGTTATTATTGTTATTTTTTGTTTTTACTTTATACATCGAAAGTACTCCTAATGACAAGTTGTTTGCCGCAGGACGGAAACAATTCGATTGCACAGAGTATAAAATATGGAAAAACTGTTTTCAGTTCAAGTAGCATAGTATTAAGTTACATAAGGAAAATCAAACAAAGCATATTATTTTCGTATTTCTTTAATACATTCACTAATATATGGTACATTTGACAATATGATTTCCTAGCTACTCCGGCTGGTTTCACACGTACTACCCGCCTCCTATTGATAGTAGCGTAATTTCTATAGCTTTCTCGATAAATCGATTGTGCAACACAAAAATAATTATTCAATTCGGACCCGGAATTCCGGAGAGTTGTGCGTTCAAACAAACAATTCAACATCTTCAGCTTTATAATATAAAAATAGTATAAGATAAACATTATTTAGTATTTCACATTTATTCATTTACAGCTAAAGAAAAATATATAAATAATATTGCAAAAGAAAAATATTTCTTTAATAGTAGGTAGACAGAGAGCAATATTTTGGTTTGGTACATAAGTTAAATGGCTTTGATTCGTTTAAAACTAATTGTTTACCCGCATATGTGGTGGTTTCTTAAAATTATTTTACTGTACTTATTTTAACATCGTTCTCTTAGTATTAGTTAGACAATATTTAAAATATAATAAGGTTATAAATAGTATCAACACATTAAACGCCTCTGGGTCACTGTAGACCCACACACATATTTTGCTTACAATAGTTTGCTATCGCCAATAAAATTAAAGACGTAGAATATACGGCTGTATACGTCTGGTTCGCAATGTACTTGAAACTATAAAATACTTAAAATTATGTTTTTCATTGGGTATTAAATACATAGTTTCCTACCGAACTCTAGTTATTAAATAACAAACGTTTCTAAAATAACCCCAATACCCAAATGCTAACACAGTTTCATGCTATCTGGATTTGTCATATAATAAAACATTTTTAATTCAATGGGGTATATTCTATAATATAATCTATGGAGTTTAATCTTAACTAATTAATTTGCACTATACTCCCTCGAGACAAGATAAAAGGCTGTGAAAGTAATCAATGTATGGGATTGACCATTAAGGTATTGAATGTTAGTAATGTCAATCATGTAACATTTGATTTTTCTATACAATTCATAAAACTAAAATATACGTCTCAGTAGTTTATCGTCATCAATAGGGTTGTCTAGTTGGTCCCATTTTTGGGGCTCAATCTGTCCAACTTACATAAAATATAGGCTTAGTCTACTTTATGATGTCATCATTTCACCTGGGCATTATTTCATCCAAATGGCATAATCCAGGTGAAATGATTCGACTCAAGTAGTGTCTTTTATTCACATGGTAGTAAATTGATTCTTAAAAATATTTCTGTGGTATTGTCCAAAACCAATAAGAGAAAACTACCCTACTGACAAAGACTCCTAACATAACCTATATATATATTATTATACATATGAAATATTTTTGTTATACATTTAATAAATACAATAATATGGTCACTGTTATTATAAAAATTGCAAACACTAAGTTTATGTAACTTAAATAACATCACAGATGTGCTTTATACATTAAAAAAGACCATGCATAGTCAGTTCTATCTCAATTTACCATAATCCTGTTTTATCATGTCTGATCCCTTTTCGGAAATCATATACGTAGGGGCGTTCGTATGACTGGACACTATCTCAGGCATAACACTCGCGTCTATTACCCTGAGACCCTCAATACCGTGGACCTTTAATCTCGGACTCACCACTGCTGAAGGATCACTCTCTACTCCCATTTTGCAAGTGCCACTCTGATGGTATATAGTGAATGTGAACATTTGTGCTTGGCAAGCGAAGTACTCGTCGCTACCGAACGGGCCGTATTGTAAACAGTCCTCTATCGGAACATCATACAATTTGGCACCAAGTTTCTTCAGAGCTGGTTGTCTTGCTATTTGCACTGCTACTTTAATTCCTTCTACAATCTTCTGTAAATCTTCTGCATACTCAAAATAGTTTGGTATTATGGCTGGGTGTGCTCTGGGGTTCTTGCTTCGAAGCATAACTCTTCCTTTTGATTTGGGTCGCATTAACATCGGGAACACCATAAACGCGTCAGACTTTCCTAGCGGACCGTAAGTATCATCATAAATTTGGTTATCAAAGCCGAAATTACGTCGTAATAGTGGGTCAGAGTTCAATCCTCCTGAAATGAAGAGCAGTTCCATGTCAGGCCAACCTGTTGTGTTGAATTTATCTTTTAAATCCAAGAATATAAGAGCTTCGCATCCACCAGGAATTGACAGTGGGCCTTTATGTGATCTCATCCATTTGAACACTAGTTCTAAATGATTTAATATGTATTCTGTAGACAGCGTCAGATTTTGCGGTCGAACTAAGAACTGAATTCCACCGGCAGCTATGTGGTCCATTAAATTGTACCCTACTGGTAAATCTTTTACAACGTTTATTCTCATTGACTCCAAATGATTTCTTGGACCGATACCTGACAGCATCAATAGTTGAGGAGAATTAATAGCTCCAGCAGATACAATTACTTCTTTCTTCGCCAATATTTTATGTTTCACATTTTGTTTTTCGAATTCGACTCCAATTACTCTAGTCTTGGTTTCGTCAAAAATAAGCTTGGTTACCATGCTGCCCTTAGACACATGGAGATTATTCCGACCATTGGCTGGGTGTAAATACGCTCTGCTAGAGCTATGACGAGTTCCATTTTTCATTGATAGTTGAAGGAAAGATACACCAGCAGGTTCTGCTCCATTGTAATCACTATATTTAAAACCCATTTCTTGTGCTGCCTTGACCCAGGCCTTCCCTTTGGTGGTTCGGAATGGAGCGTATTCGACGTTAAGGTGTCCATCGCGCCCGTGATATTTTGGATCATTGTACGACGGGATGTTGAAGTTTTCTATTTTCTTGAAATATGGCAGAACTTCGTCCCAACTCCAGCCATCGTTACCCATCGCTGCCCAGCTGTCGTAGTCAGGTTTAGCTCCTCGTGTATAAATCATATAATTTAGGACACTAGAACCTCCAACTACTTTTCCTCGAGGCCAGTTACACTGCTGGTTCTCAAATCCTGCACAGTACTTTTTAGAGGGCATTGTTTTATATCCCCAGTTAGCTGATGTGAATTGAAGGTAGTTTGCTACGATTGGGATATCCATGACATAATTTTCATTATTACCTGCTTCAATAAGTAACACTTTCCAATCTGGGATTTCAGTAAGACGGTTTGCTAACACGCATCCCGCTGTACCGGCTCCTACGATGATGAAGTCATATTCACTCAGCATGTTATTTTGATCTGGTGGTTCGTTGTCCAGTTGATTGGAGCCTTCATTCAGGAAGTTCATGAACGATGTGACAGGATTGAGGAGCTGTGTGTCTGTTGGAAGCAGAAGGGTGAACAGCACCCATGTTGCCGTTGCCAAGTTTGATGCCCAGCGCTGATGCCTCATCTGGAATATTACAATGAGTAGATTAGTCGCGCAAAATATGACTTTTCTTCTTGATATGATATTTTGTCAACTACCAGGAGCTCAGACCAGGCGCATAAGTCTATGAATAATAATAATACAGTAGTGGAAAGATTTCAGACTTTCATAACAGCGTATTAAGACATAGTTTTTATTGTCAGAGGATAAATGAGTGTGGAGTATTGCCGAGGCTGTCGATACTCGTCCACAACAAAAGAATACATAAACGTTTGCGTGACTTGGCGTTTAAAGTGGTCAGTACCGGGCCTTCGCATGTTTCTGATAAAATCGTACCTAGTCTTGCAGGCCCGTTTTCCTCCTAGAGTTTCTGACTCGAAATTTGTATTTCAAGTTTTTACTTTTCAAAAATACTATATATTATTGGTAAGATATAACTCAAGTAAATAATATTGCTGAATTATTTAAAGTTACAAGGAACTAGCTAATTGTATGCTAATTAATATGTCAGGAAAAGTCACAAAAACTTTTAAATACAACATAATTTTAATTGACTATTATGTAATAACCAATAATTGGTTTTATACTCATACCTAAATAAAAACTTATTTCAATGACAAAAATATCCCAAACTAAATAATTATGCGAAAGCAAGAACATCACCACTCTTATTAGATAAGGACAAAGTAAATTTTTGGTTACGTTATTTGTAGTGGTGTACAAAATTTTGGGTAAAATAGTGAACTTACATGTGTGAACAGCAATTTGATATGACGACATTTCCGATTGTAAGGCGGAGACCTTGTTATATTCTGTTAATTGCGCAAAATAATCTATGCAACCCCTTATCTACCTGATTTTACATAGAAATATTATCCAATATGTTACTAATGCTATAATATTACGTAGTTTCTGTATTTATAATTGTTTCTAAACTAGAAGTCAAGGTTACCATTATATTAGTTCTTCGACATGTTCTATTGTGGAATAAATTATTTCATTCAATAAGTTGATTACATTGATCGTTAATCATGGTGTTAACATTCAATCTTGATGTAATATTATAATATTATTGTATGTTTTTTTATTAATATCAACAGGCATCTTCGTGTAGTTTTCCGATATTAGAATATAGTTTTCAATCAGGCGTCTAAACAAGCTTAAAAAGGGTTTAAAATAGTTTATGTCAGAATCAATTTATAAATGGCCGAACAAACATGGTCAAAGCGATATGTAACATCGAGACAACATTTATATAGCATTTTTTTTAAAGATGTTTTCTATTTATTTACATAAATAAATACAAGCAAATTTTGTGTAGCTGCAACTGCTTTTGAAACTATCTAATTTATTTTTAAACAGCTAGAAGGTTACAAAATTTGACCTGTGTTTGGTTCTTCCGTTCGCATTTCACGGTCAGTGTCAGTACCGGCAGCATGTTACGTATATTAAAACAGTAAATTGATATTCTAATCACTTTTACGAATCATATTATCCCTTTCTGGTTACTCTTGAGTATATTAAGTGTTTCTCTAAAATAGCATGCTAAAAAGCGTTCTATTGAGCATGCTCAAAAATTTTCAAAAATCGAACGTCTGTCGATGTGTAAACTAGCCTGAAATGAGCATGCTAATTTTGAGCAATATTCCAACACACATGCCATTAAGTGGCAAGTGTATAATACTGTCTTTTACAACTAATCAAATTCAATACTTTTATCGAAGCGTCAAAAACGATATTGTTCTATGAATTTTGTACCAAAAACTAACTTGTGACGTCATCATATTTCCGAGTCAAATAGCACAGTTATTTCTAAAAAAATTGCTAGAATAAATCGAAAATTAAGTATATCGTCAAATATATGAATGAAATTGTAATTATTTTTGAATATTTAATAGGATTGAAAAATCAGAATAATTTATTTTGACCCAAGGAAATACCCAATTGAAGCATGGCTTTCGTATTTGAAATTAGCATGTGTAACAGTACTTTTAACATAAAAACGTCGAAGTTCGGTAAAGTAGTAGTAATTTAAGTGTTTATTGTATGACCAAGGGATTGTAGGTAAAAATGGGGTGGATAGGAATCAAGAGGTGAATGGAGACAGAAGAGGGGTGAATACATATTGGGAAATTCTTCATAGTATCGATCCACCCCTTTTCTGTCCCTATTCACCCCATTTTACCGTATATTTAAGGACCCTATGATCCTATTTTAAAAAACGTTGCCCCCACTCTGCGACTTTCTCATGTGTCGTGGGTGCAAGTTTACATACACTTGACACCCAGAAAAGACGTTATCGGAAAACGAACCTGGAACAACAATCCGTGGATCACACAAAGAGTTGTTCCGTGCTTGAATCGAAACTAGTTTTCTAGGAGAAGAACAGTCTTATAAGAGAAGAATAGTCTTCATCTTCATCTACAGCTGCAAGTTTGAAGATTGTGGTTTTAATAGTATGTAATATAATTCACGATTACATTATTAGGTATTTAATTAGTCATCTTAAAAATTCGTAGCGCCAACCTGTTTTGATTTTGCGTACGTGATGTGTCTAACGGTGATTTGGACTGGTTTTGATATAAATAAATTTGATGTACATCTCTTTGTTTGTGTTAATAAATTATCATATCTTATTATACTGCCTCATTGGCCGAGTGGTAGCAAGGACGACTGCCGAGCAAGGGGTCTCGGGTTCGATTCACGGATCGGGTAAAGAATTACTGGTTTTCTTTAAAATCATAGTAGCACGGAGTCTGGAAATGTGCCCGATATATGGCAATAGGTTCACCCCCTAATACATGGGACTTATAACATTAAATAGTGAAATGTGGGTGTTACATTGTAGGTACAGTGGCATTAACTGTCGTAATGTGCATCTATTCAAGCCCTTCAAGGATAGCCGCGGAGGACTTAATGCGTCGCGGAGGACTTAACGGGTTGACTCGAAGGGCAGGAGTAGGAACGGGGTGGTTTTTAGTCAGTAAGTCTCACACTCCCTCTCGCCGCACCCAGGCGGGATCAGTCATTCGATAATTTTCCCCCTTAAAGAAAACCCTTCAAGGATAAAAGGCGTGAAGTTATGTTATGTCTATATAAGTATACACTATGGTTCCTTGCAGTGAAGCGGTTTGGAACCTTTTCACTAGTCCTACTAAGAATCTTTTGGAGGACGTAATTTGCAGATGAATATCTGTATTAATTAATCGTACTTCAATTTATTACTAATCTTATTAAGTTTCAGTAGGTAACCGTTTATTGGTAGAAAGAAAAGATTTGCTTCCAAAATATTACATTATAGCTAAAAGTAAGTGTATGTTTATCGATATTCTTGCCCTTCAAAAAACAACGGATATGATTATATATTACGTTTGTGAACACACGAAATATCTATTACACAATAGTTTTTTTAGTCGTTTTTTTGACTTATGCACGTGTGCGTAAGAAATAAAACTAGGAAATCGTTTTGTAGTACGCATTCATTCCGTGGTTTTAGTTAATTAGTTTAATTGATTAAATGCTTGAATAACAGCCATGAACGATAAAAACTATAATGTGTACTTATGTATCATTTGTTCATGCATCTTAACAAAGTCAAAGCACTTATTTCAAGTAGAACGTTTACATGCAATTTTGTGAGTAATCTGTAATGAGGGTGTTTGTTTTTCTGCTCACTAGATGACGTTACTGAGACGTAAGCCCCCATCCATAGTACTTAGATGTAAACAGTTTGTTGACTAATGAATTTACATTGACCTTAAAGTCTCATTTTTTATACTAGATATTGTGAGCAGAAGTCACTTGTACTGTAGTTCAAAGAACATAAAGAAAATTTATGTTCACTCTGAGGTCTGTTATTATTTGAGATTAGTCTATTAAGCATTCCATAAAAAATAAAAAATATTGTAGCTGGAATAAGCTCTTACCATTAGCTCTGGAGTTTTTAATGGGACAAGCCCGCCACAACTTCTCAAAACCGCTGCAATTCCTGAAAGCCAGGATCTACAGTAGATACAAGCATGAAAACACCGAAACACTGAAGTCTGGCGCGTCTCAGGGACATGAACAACTGTCTTGGTTTCCTCAACAAAGTGATATTATAAGAAGAGAAGAAAAAAAACCTCTGGAATTATCAAGTGCTCTTTATAAAATTAGTTAGTTTTATTTGTTTTAACTGACAACATATATCGTTCATATGACAATCCTTGTAAACGGTCACGGTCGTCATACATAATCGTTACGTTTAATGCGAATATAATGACGTCACGCTAGGATACCGATTTTACAAACTTTTTTGGTAACACATAACATCACGCCTTTTATCCTCGAAGGGGTAGGTAGAGGTACACATTATGCCACTGTACAATGTAACATCCACTTTTCACTATTTATGTTATGAGTCCCATGTAATAGGGGGTGAGCCTATTGCCATATACCGGGCACAGTTCCAGACTCCGTGCTACTACTGAGAATTTTTTAAAAACCCAGCCCAACCCGGGAATCGAACCAGTGACATTGTACAGTGGCATTAAGGGCCGTAACGTGACCTCGGGCTATCCACCCCTTCGACAATAGAAGGCGTGATGATATTTATTTTATTATTATTGTTTTAAGTCACAAAAAAACGACACGTGTATTGGAAATATAACAAAAGGTTTTTTGAAGTTGATATTTTTATATTGCGTTTATTTATGATACGTAGATATTAATCTCATGCTACGTCGTTTTATAGTTCTTGTGCTATTTTGGCATAGATTATAACTTAAGAACAAAAGGATATTAATAGACTTCTCATATTTATAACTCCACTGTGACTTATAACCTAAACCTAACCTATCATTCATTAATGCTTCGACATCTTTTACAACATTGAATTGTGACCCTACTCTTGAACTCTAGCGCTTTAATGGTAATCAAATAATTTTGTATTATGCAATTATGCAATATAATATTATGCTGTTAATTGTGAGTTGTGGATGGAGTTTCTTGTTAGTAGTTAAATACCTCTATACTCGGAAGCAGTAAGAAGAGGCCACTCTTCAGCTGTGCAGTGGGGAACTTACAGGTTGATGGTGATGAGAAAGGACCTCAACATGGTATACTTTAAATAATAAAAATATTTCATCAACTTTTTCTTTTTCTACAATTTAGATCTTAACAATAGTCGAGTTTTATATCCATTATATTGCATACAAGATGTGGATTACTGAACTTCGAACCTGAACGAACCTTCAAACGTCCGAACCCTGTTTCCTTAAATGGGTCGCTAATTTACTATTATAGTATTTTTATTTAGTAATATTGATCATCTATACTATTTAATGTATCTTATATAATTTATATTATATTATACCAATATATACGGAACTATGTGTGTATTTACTTGCATAATTATGGATTTATTTATACCTATAGATTTATTCTGTGTCACATAAAGTAAATCATAATACCTATTACGCCTACTGTTGCACTACTCTGCACCACCCCATGGTTGACTGTTAGAGAATCGACATGATCGTATGGTATATATAGAAGCGTAAAAAAAATAAATTCAAATTTATGGGAATCATAATTAGCTTTACCAACAATGCGTGCGTATTTATAGGTAGCGAATTTGTTACGCACCTACTTAAATGTATCCCACCTTTTATGGTATGTGAAATCCGGGTGTTATAATAAATGAAGCACAAAGTTCATCTCATCAACTTGCTAATATTATCGGCATAATAATTGTCATCATATTTACATAATAATATAATATTAAATTACCGGTCTATCTTGTTAAGTTTTCCGCAAACTTTGAATTTTACTAGGAAACTGTTGCACAGGTTTTTTAGCGTTTTTTACTGCACACATAATTTTAATTAGATAATATTAGACGGTAACCTGTCCTCTGTCTTAGTATTTCCTGGCTTTGTGAGACCTTGGATGCGGTACTCTGTTACATGTTTGGTTCACGGAATGCGTTCTAAATTAATCAGTTGTATTTGATAGGCACATATGTTTTATTCTTTTTCATTCAGTTTTACCATTAGAAAATTAATAAAGTTGCCTAAATTACCTATTTGATATATTTTTTTGAACTTGTTTCCTTTCTTTGGAGTTTATAAATATATCTTAACGAAATTTAAAGAACTTAAAACGTCACTATTATGAGAGTAAAGACATTATAAAAATAACGATAGTACAAATATAATCTGTATGTAATGTCTATGCCAAAGTTAATGAAGTGCGTGGAAAGCACTTTTTTATTGGGGCCAAGTCAACAGGGTCAATATGACGAATTAAAGAAAGAAAAAGCAGACAGTACTCTTTATACTAACTACACAGTTTAGAGGTCGTCGTTAATATAAATTCATAAAAAGTAAAGGTTAGAATAAAAACTAAATAGTTTTTTATTCATAATTTATTTTTGAATGTCTTTCTTATTTTGTATTCTGTTGCATTTTTCCAGTTTTTCATTATCTGTGTCGGGTTTTCCCGCCTTTCTACTTAAAATAATCTAGAAATAGTTTGCTTAGTCTGTGGTCAGTGTTATGAATACCTAATTAGTTTAGTTGGAAAATAATAATAATAGCATGGAATATTTTTCTATTGGATTTTATTCCATTGTAGATTGTTTTAAGAAGGTCCTTTTTTCTCTTTTAATTTTAAAATCGATATTGATTGTTTTTGACAGATGTATATTACAATATTTTAGTATTTTGATGTTTTGGAGGACGAGGACGATTTTTTTAAATTTATTAGGCCTGTAAGTATATTTTCTCAAAGATCTATTTATTAATTGAAAACAATTCAATTGGAGTTAATTAGCGGAAAATTCTATATTATCTATTTTATTCCGAAAATGTTTATTTTAAATTCAAAGAATCTGGGAAAATTAACTTACTTTATTTAAAATCAATTACTCCAAAATTAAAAAAAATCACTGCACAGCACACATACACAGCACAGCGCGCGTCCTATTTAGCGCGCAACTCGATCGTTACAAGTTGGGAGGCGCCTACGCAGGATCGGCGGTCCTTGCGTACCACTGCTGCGCGAGGGAAGCGCTCGCGATGTTTTATTCCGCGGACGTGAAAATTACGTACCTACATCTCATGTGTATACTGCGGCACTGCCCACCCTGCCCGTGACCTTTTCACTACCGTTCAAGTACACCTGTTGAACGCGTGCCGCATGAATTTTGAAGATGCGCTCGAGTTCGAGTAGCTGTGTACTGTTTATTATGTGAAATGTTTGCTTTTTTTGAGTTTATTTTTAAGATTATCTTTCTATTAACGTATTATTATGTAATTTGTTTTCGCATGGTATTGTGTGTTTTTCTTATAATTATATAATTTAGTGAGTCGTTTAGGTATTTATATATTTGTGTGTTTGTCTACAGTCATAGTTTACTTATTTTGGAGTCATTTTTCGTGTTTTATACGTTTTGTATTCTTGGATTTATTTACCATCATTAAGTTAAGATCGAAAAATTAGTTGTACATTTAAGTTTAAACAGGAGTTCTTTCAGTTTCCAAAGTAAAGCATTGTTCTCATTTCGACCCTGATCGTGTGTTATTTTGCTCTAGTTTAATTGCGTAATTATTTTCATTTTCCTGTTGATTATAAATGAGCTTGTAATAATAATTAGGTATATTGTACGTGATAATTGGGATCTATCGCGTGCATCTAAATATAGTTTAATCGATATCATTATAAAATTAGACTAGGTATACCTAATGTAATAATTTATTAGCTCAGTCTCCCAATAAAAAACTGCCCGTTTTTTATTGGGAGACTGAGCACAAAATTGTGAAAGAAATATTTATTCCTTTAGTACTGCACTTAGTTTGTTTCAGCAGAGCTTATTACCCCACACATTTTGATAAATAATAGTTCACTATTTTTTTAGGGGAGGGAGAATCTTTGCCTGAATGAGGCGATAGAAAGTGTCAGACTCTGCTCCGAGCCGATGCCACGGTAATATATTACGCTTTTCCCGCAACCCTGGCAGACTTCTAGGTTTGCCTTTGATAATTGTTTTAGAGGACTTGGCGCCCTCTTTTGATTACTCATACTCTCTTGCTGATTATCATAACCACTGGGATGATTTTATTATATATTTATCATTTTAAATTTTAATATTTAAAATTTTAAATTATCATTTAAAAAACTGAAAGTGGGTGTTACCTACATTGTATAATGTACAGTGGCATAATGTACACCTCTGCCTACTCCTTCGGGAATAAAAGGCGTGATGTTATGTTATGTTATCTTTTTAGGTACACCGGTACACCATGCATCAGATATAGTTTGTGCATAGTTTTTAGTGGGGTAAGAATCTCAAATTCCCTAATCTCCACTAGAAGCCGCGCTATTCATACTTTTGAATTCAAAAATATTTGAACCATAAAAAATAATTTCTCACTGTTTACATCTTGCAGGAAATCAAACATGACGCTGTATTATAAATAAGCAGTTCATTTGATAGTGTGGTACCATTTCCTGATTATTTTGAGAACGCGGATATGAAACCATATTATCGTAAATTGTTTTCCTAATCTGGTTCATTAGGCACATACGTACTTGCGTACTGCCCTACCTCGAAATTGACCCTTAACTGTATAATCTGTAGACTATGATGTCAACTTAATAACGTGTTTCATTAGGAAAAAAAAACCGTAAAATTAATAGTTTGGAATATTTAGAATGATGTTAATAACCTACTGTTGTTATTTTGGTATAGGGATTTCCCAATATCTTTTTTGTTTTTTTTCTACAATATTTCAATGTGTCAGTTTTGGTGCAAAACAGGTACCTATGTTTCGTCGGGTCCCCGAAGAGTTTAAGTTGAAGTTCATAGCAAATATAACGCATTAGAGCATTCTATTTGTTTAGGGTCTAAAAATGTGTATTTAGTACTTACGCATATTTCCTCGTTACATATAAAGTATTTTTCAAGTATTTGCAACCGTTCATTTTGTTTGTTTACTTCTCGTCGTTTAATTTGCCAAAGGTTTTTGTTGCAATTGTAAACAGCACGTAAGGATGTATTTATTTAATTAAATGATAATGATCTTGTTATTAAAGTGACTATTTTATTTAACTGAATTGCGTTTTTTAATAAGTTTAGATAAACTGAGCAGGTAACGTTTTTTCTTTATTATGTGGCATTGAATAATGTTTAGAAAAATAGCTTGTTACCTACTTCAGTGGTTACTTCATATTTAAGTTTGTAACTATGGGGGGCGCCACTGTCGAGTTTAATCATGATTAAGTAACTACCAAAAATGTGCCTTTAAAATACTTGTGTAAACCATTTTGACACTTGCACAAACTTATCTTCTACTTAGTTTTTACTTAGCTTCGTTAATTAATACAGCACCCTTGTAATGTTCCCGAAAATACGGCGAATCGCGTTTCGTGCGCGCTTGAAAGAGTCATCAGACCATCATAGATGGAGCTCAGTAGCTCTGATGTCGATATGAAGCCGCGAAGGACTTAGCGGGTTGCCGGGGCTCCACCTCAAAATGTAGAAATTGGAACGGGGTGGTTTTTAGTCAGTAAGAGTCTGACACTCCGTCCCGCCTCACCCAAGTCGAGAGAAGTTATTGGATGATTTTCTCCCCCAAAAAAACCCATGTAATGTTATAATATTCTTTTAACCTAGTCTTTGTTTAAAGCCTAATTTAAACATTGACGTTCAATGCTCTAATATGTAAGATAACATCAAAAGTGTCAGCTATCGTAAATCGTTTTTTTTTTATAATACTAATGCTATTCTCTTACACCTACTGACCTCATAGGTAGGTATATAATATACTTTAATACATACGGACCTACAAATGTGGTATATTTTTATCCATTCGTGGTTTTTTCAATCCCATATAAATCCATAGATAACATTTAATTGGTCGTAAAAAACTACATTTGATGTTCGTTGTCGGTTCCGTGTGAAAACAAAAATCCCAATGTTCATTATGAGTTGTTTTTATTGGTGTAAAATAAGCTTTATCATCTTGAGTGAAAACCGATGGCGATTCATAAGAAGTTAATTTGATAAAAAATAACCTTACGTCAGGTTATTTCCGAAAATATTTAAACTATGGTGACACTAGTGATGAATGTTTTTGACACTAAGCCATAAATTAACACAATCTAGATTTTATCTTGTTATTGGTACCTATCCTTAAATATATTTACCGGGGCTCCGGCTCGAAGCGCAGGAGTAGGAACGGGGTGGTTTTTAGTCAGTAACTGACACTAAGTCTGACACTCCCTCCCGCCTTACCCAGGCGGGACCAATTATTTGATGATTTTCACCCCTTAAAAAAACCTTAAATATATGAGCCATGCTTTCTGCATCTAGTAATGTCGTACAAACGTGGTTTTTATTATGTTCCGCACTCATATTTCGTTGGGTATTCCGAAATAAACAGTAAAAATGTCTATATAGATAAAGTCTATAATTGTGTTTAGTTTTGTAAGAGTGTACCTAACAACAGTTTTTTTTTTTTTTTTTTTTTTAAGGGGGGAAAATCATCGAATGACTGCCCCCGCCTGGGTGAGGCGGGAGGGAGTGTCAGACTCTTACTGACTAAAAACCATCCCGTTCCTTCTCCTGCACGTCGAGCCGGAGCCCCGGTTACCCGTTAGGTTCTCCGCGACTCCGAATCGGCATCGGCCCTATTGGGCCCCATCTGTGGTGGTCTGATGGCTCTTTGAGGCGCGCGCGGAACGCGACGCGCCGTACGCTCGGGTCTGTTTCTGGTCGGACGGGGAGCCACCCATGCTCGCCGTCCGCAGGCCCGCGCTTACGGTGGCCGGAGATCGTCCCGCGATCCCCGACGCCCGGTGTGTCCTTCGCGATGGCTGGGTTGCGAGGAGGCAGCGCTTCGCTGCCTCACGCGTCCCGCCTCCTCCTTAGCTAGCATGACTGCTTCGCAAAAGGAGGAGACGGCATCCCAATCCCCCTCGCTCCGCATCATGGCCTGCACTAGGCCCGGACGCGAGAGGTCGCCATCGCCGATCACTTCCCTGAGGACACGGCGGTGCTCAGCCCACGAAGGGCACCTAACAACAGTAAGACAGTAATAGCAGGTAACAAGAACAACTAGGTACTAATAACCTACTTTTATCGAAAAAAAAAAGGTACAAAACAAAAGATGAATGCTCTAAAACTCTTTAACTCTACAAAAATATATGGTCTATAAAATAATTTGTCATCGAATCACTATTGACAATTTTGCCGATATTTAATCAGACTAGCTAAACTACAATATTATTTGCAATCTTTTTTATATTTTCATACTGTATTATTTATAGAAAGAAAACATATTTTATAACGAGCACGGGAACTCGTATTAAGAGATAATTTCATAAAGATAACAATTTATCTCTACGCTTATAATGAGAATGATGTCGTTAATGAAAATTCTTGTTCACATAAGGAAAATATTCATTACAGTCCGCATATTTTGTGTCATTTTATGAGAGATTATTACCATCCTTTAATCCATATTATGTTTAAGGAATTAATAAAGAATATGATTGACACATTTCTTTATACTATTTTCTTGGAAACCGTGCTCCTAGGACCTTGTGGGTGCTCCCAAATGCTGCCACAAAGTTTTACTTAGGTTCCTTACTTTCTTAAAACATTTATTTTTTCCGTATTTCAAAATATGTTTGATAAAAGGTTGCAAAAATAATAATGCTAAAAATAGTTTATGGTCGTTATTGAAATTTTCTAAACGTAATAAATAATTAACACCATCGAAACCACAGTATGTTCGTAAAGGTATATTTTCGGAATTAAGAAATTCATGTCTAAATGCTGGTTCATCCAATGTGTGAAAAATGATGTATTAGTGAGTCACGTCTTTCTTTTTTTGTCAAGAGTAATTCTTATAATCTCAGTCGAAAATGACGTCACACACTATTTAGGAACTACCGTCTATCCGCCTAGATAGGTATACCATTACCTATACTTGTACCCTGAAGGAATTTTCAAAAGATTTCGTTTTACATTTCAACGTTAACCAGAATATCGAGCACTAATTCTTGATACATTTGGGGATCATAGTTGCTGCTGCTAATATGTCAATGAAGGATTGTAATGTTTAGATTCATGTGGGTCTAGTTTACATTAAATAAGTCCCTTTAAAGTACTTACACCCATTTTCACGGGTTGT